TGTGTTGCATGCCGGGCGAGGACGTTGCGTGTGTTTAGTGCATAGATATGAAAAGCATGCAAAACCTCTGTCACACTGGAATCCGCAGGATGCCCACAGTGGGGGACTCGGCAATGCTTGTGCATCAGAGCGACAGGGAGTGCCGGGAGAGAAGTTTCGCCTGTACTATCCGAGAACCAGCCACTCTCATCGAGACGCAGAGTGTCGTGGATGATGATATCAGTCGCCTGCGCGACACAGACAAGGCTGTACCATGTTGAGTCGACAGCTCCCTCAATGTATTCTTGGACCACGCAGCTTTAAGTCTTGATGACGTAGGCGTGACTCTGAGGGTTTTGAGGTGTGCTCTGGATGGAGAGCGAGGGTAGTGTCGAACGCAGGTGCGTTTGCCCCGAGCAGACCTCCCAGGCCCGCCCGGCTGAGATGGTAGCTCCTGGATACTCCCGTGATGGAGTTGCTAAGAAGGCATCGGGGCACATTCGTGTGTTCAGGCCCAGTTGAAGGAGCCAGCTTCGTCGTGGGAGTCGATTCTGCACCCGACGGCACACCTTTGGGCTTGACTTTTGCATCCCAGCAGCACTTAAGACACCTGTGCTCTCAGACCCTTCGCATGATTGATGTCACGTTTTGCCCATAGGACTTTGATATTCATTGCCATAACCGTGCGATTGGCAAGAGCCGTCGTTGAAGTTCCATCTCTCGCCTTGGAGTGCCAAGGTAAGAACACTTGTTGCTAGTCGTTTCCTCCAGCTGTTGGCCCAAGTTGGAAATCCACAGAACTGTGCAATGCTGAGGATTTCATGGATGCAGGTGTGTCTTGTCTTGATTCGTGCTGGTGCTCTTGCCGCAGTCTCGCAGGCAGTGGCATGGTGGGAGTTCGTGTTGCTTGCAATTCACAAACAAAGGCCTGCATCGTCGCAAACGTCTCAAAAGGCTCGCTCATAGATGCTTGGAATTCGAAATGCCGTGGACTTACATTCGCCCTCAGATGTTCACTGCAAGCCCGCATGTTACTGCCCAGGCACACCCAACGAAATGGTGTGCGCGCGTGACCGACTGCTCCAGGCAGGTTTGGATCCTCGAGACTCAGACTCCCCCTATTCTGGTTCTAGCTCAGGTAAACGGAACGGGAGCAGCCGCCAGTGAAGTGGTGGCGCAAAAGTTGGCAGCGGCTCTGCATAAGGACAGGGCGCATGCACTGCGGGTCCCTCAACAACTGGGCTTCTGAGGATGCTGGATCTTTTGGTGTTTGCTTTGAGCGCAATCGATCTGCCCAGGCTGAAATTCCAGCATCCCGTGGTTTAGAGCTTAGATTCCATCTTCCGTTGGACTGAGTTCTTGCGCGCTCGGGGCCCCAACAAGGTTTCCAAAGTGAGCATCAAAAAGGGTGCCGGCACTCTGGGGCTGAACCTGCACTATGCCGCGGAGAACCCACTAGGTCCGGCACTTTGCTCGCTTATTGCTGCTCCGAGTGATGCTTTTCAGGTGGACTTTGTGTGAAGAGCATCGCAGAGGGTGTGGTGAAGGTACAAGACTCCAAGACAAAACAATGGGCTCCTGTCAGCCTTGCGGTGCTGGTGCCTGCGAGGCCAACTCGTTGAACATCAAGGAAGGCGACCGGATCATGGACGTGAATGGCCAAGATCTGCGACATGCTCAGCCCACCTCGAGTTTTACGTTGGCTCTTCCTGGATTGTAGACTTTGCCAGCCCGGACCTTCGAATCCCAGTGCTCAGGGATACGTCAACAATGCTGCAGAAGATCCGTGACCTTGAGGAGGGGTGCCCGTGTAGCACAGCTGAGCGCAGGCTCAGCCTACGGCAGCACACCTCACCCAACGAATTAGGATGATCTTTGGGTTCGAGCAGCCAGCTGAAGCTGCATACGAGAGCTCTGTGGACAAGATTGGCTGCCGCTGTCACAAACTGATTGGGAAGCGCATGTGCTAGCAGGCTTAGAGAGTCTAACATGCGGCCAGTTGCAGAGTCGTCGGGTGCACTTACTCGGGGGTCGTCCGTCTTACACAATCGCTGTGAGCGAGTGTAACAGTCGATAGACACACATGTGATTAATGGCATGCTCTTCAGACTGTTGGTTATGTCTAGTAATGAGAGGTTGTGTAGTGTTATGAGTTATGACGGTAGTTTGGTTCGTTAGGAGCACATAATTGGCCAGACGATGTCCTTGTGCTAGCGGCTGGAGGTAAAGGCTTGTTGAGCATGGCCAGGCCGACAGGCGAGTTGGAGGTATGGGCATGGAGGATGCGAGTCTGTGGTACGGGAGGAAGGAGAAGAGAAGCAGAAGACAAGAGAGAGAGACGGCGACATATATGTAGATAGAGAGAGATGATCGATCCATGGTGGATCGATGGATCGACGGATCGACGGATCGACGGATCGACGGGTCGACGGATCGACGGATCGACGGATGGACGGATCGACGGATGGACGGATGGATGGATGGATGGATGGGGAGACAGAAAGACAGACAGATCGAGAGAGGGACTTTGTTTGTGGTGAGCAAAACAGCTGCTTGAGATGTCAAGGAGTTCACCCTCACAGTTCTCTCCTGGCCGGAGGAAGGTGGGGCGAAATGTCTGTGCATGAGACTTGCTGTCTCTGTGCTTCTCTAAGGACAAGAAGGACTGTGAGCGCAGGGCGGATGAAGTGGATATCAAGATCTAGATAGGTATGGCAGTGGCACTGCGTGAGCTTTGGCGTGCGACCTCGCCTAAATCTATCGCAAAGTGCCTCATACAGTGGCCAGGAATATGGTTGTGACGATGTTCGTTGGTGCAGATACAAGTACGCACTGTCCCAGACGAAGTGTTTGCACAGTATGCCGTCGATTCCTTGCTAGTGAGCAAGCAAGCCCAAGTCCACCGCGAATGTGGTTGACTCGTTTTACGGGCTGGTTCGATGATTGCCATCCTAATAGGCGAGTAGGCTTCGCTCATTGCCCCAGACCTACCCGCATCCTCTATGGATGTCAGAAGGGTGGTATTCAAGAAAAGTGCTATTGTGAGAAAAGTGCTTGTGTCTTCGAGAAATTGGACTTTCATGGTGCGTGAGATGCATCGAATTCGTTTTTGCCTTGCAGACGTTGGCTTCAGGAAGGTTCCCGGGACTTTGGCCACCGACATGAATCCACGTCGGCCCGACAGAAGCAAAGGACGACCATAAACACAAACTTGGTGATGAACTATCAGAAAGCTGATTTGGGAGAGCCACACCGAGTTGCTGCAGCAGTTCATGGGGCCATGTTGCTTTAGGTGCATGGCTTGAATATGGCCTTTTTGCAATGGAGACGCTGGCACGGCGTCTTGCACACACTCGCGACTCTTGCCCTGTCTTTCTTAGCAGGCTATGCTGATGTCATCACCTATATGCGCTATGGAAGCTTTGCAGCCAGCATGACCGGCAACGTCGTCTTTGCGGGAAGGGAGCTTGCCAAGGGCTCCTGGGACGTCTTCTTCTATCTTTCGATTATGGCCTCATGGGCTTTGGGCTCATCAGCGTACACTGAAGTTGAAAGGATGTGCCCTCATAGGGGCGGCTCATGGGCGGCTGTCGCGATAGCAGTGAAGCTCACCTGCACAACGTTCTCGATTCAAGGTCGAACTGGAGATGCTGCATGAGAGGTCGTAGTCTGATATGCAAAGCCCAGCTTCGTCGTTCAGCTGTATCGCTGACTTCCTCAGGCGTGCCTAGGCAGGTGTGGGATCATGCGGAGCAGCTCCCGCAGGCCCTATGAGCTTCGAACACTTTTTTGGGTTTGAGGTCTTGAGGGACGTCGGGTCAGGCAGCTCAGATAGCTCAGGATATCCACTGCCGTCGATGTCGCGTACAATATCAGTGCCTACCATGGTGCTTCTTCTCGCTGGTGGGTTCTTGGGCTGATGCCGGTCTTTGGCGTCGCCGAGGTGGGGTGTCCGTGATTTGGCACATCATGAACAGCTTGATTTCTCCAGCTATGGAGCTGTCCGAGGCATTTGCGCTGCAGCACTTGAGTCTTCCAACGACCGGTGTGGCGAAACACCTGTTCAATCTTTCAAGGCTTTGCGAGCTCTTTCGCAAGGAAACAGCCGACACCGTGCGACAGGATGTCATGCTCAGTGGAGTCATGTGCCTGGACACACTTGAGTAGAGACGACTTTGTGACTTCATAAAAAAGGCACATGTCGCTACAAGTCTATTTTCCGAGAAGCCTCAGGATCTGCGGGATGATTGGCGGTGCGGTGCTAGGAGAGCGGCTGGTTGCGACTTTTGGACTCGAAGTGCGATGGTGTTTCATGCCGGTGTCGCCGCTTGTGGCCCTTGCCGTCTGCATGCACGAGTCAAAGCTGCATTCTTCCCTCATTTCAGCTATGCTACTGCATGGAGGCCGTGATGCGGATCACAATCCGAGGAGTGGCTCCATTCGTGGAAACATGCTCGGACCAGGCACGATTTGGAGGCCTCTGAGGAAGGTGATAGCGAAGAGAGCGAGTGCTGAAGGCTGCAAAGCAGCGCTTGGCAACTGCTTCAAACGTACGGAAAGTTTTGCTCTGCGGACCAAAGTGTCTGCGGTCTGCACCGGTTGAGCTTCGGAGCTGATGCTCGAGGATCCGGCTTGAGGCTCCCATTTACCCTTTTACTGATCGGATTGTCAGGAGGACTAGACTATTGGACTATCGCTCTTGGACATATCAAAGGCCGAAGAGACCGTGGCCAGTTCTTGTGCCAACGCAGCTGACAGACTGAGATCCGATGCCATGCGTTTGTACTGCTATGCTTTCCGCGTGCTGCCGCTAGCAAGGTTGCTGAAGGGAGGCCGGAGTTGACATCCGAAGAGCGGACGTCTTCACGGCCTTCTGCCGATTCCTCGACTAGGATCAGCTACAGAAGACTTCGAAGTTACGCCTGGAGACTACCACAGCGACTGATATCATGGACACTTCTCAAAAATCTATGGGCAGTGTAGGCTGCCGTCGACTCGTCGCTTGAAGTGTCGCCTTGAACATGGGAAACCAAAGCTCTCGCGTTGCACCGGCTGGGGTGGTGCCCAGCGTGGACGGTGGCGTCGTCGTGAATGTAGTGAATGTGGCCCGCAGCGAGTGTTCCGGTTGCATTCTTTCGAGTTCATGTGGCTGGGCTCCGTTCATTTCTTGTCATGCAAGGAACAAGTCGGGCGCGGCTATTGCGACGATGCTTCTGGATCAGAACGACGATGCTTGGTGGAAGTCATGTGGGTGCCACATGAAGCCATGAATCGAAAGCTGCTGTTGCCAGGAGATTCAGCGATGCTTTAAGGACCCTTGATCATCTTTGATCCAGTTCTTAGTTCATCCGACTTGTGTGACTTGTTTCTATACTTGGAGGGAAGCTGCAACAATTCATCCGCGGTGAGCAGGAGGCTGCGAGCGCAGCTGGGGCAGCAAAGCAGCCTCAAGCTCTGCCGGTGATGGCCAGTGCGGGTGCCTCAGATCAAGCTCCTTGTCTCTTTCATGTCACCCGAAATGCATGCGTGTTACAGCCATGGTTATGGCCGTGACTACAGCCACCGGCAGGCGCACGAGAGAGCAAAATGCAGCATAGCAACTGCAAAGAAATCCTGGCGAAACATCGGCAGAAGACTTTAAAACGCCGGTTCACGCGGCAATGTGGTGTCAATTAGGAACCTGCATCAGCCTGCATCTTCCTGTCTTGAAAACTTTTTGAGCTTCTCGACGTCAGAATGCACGACGAGCACCTCGTCGCAACATGGCAACATGCAAGCAATTCCTTGAAGTGTTCGGGCAGTGTGGACATTAAAGAGAATACACTAGCCAGTAGAAACAGCCAGCGCTGCGGGTTGATAAACGGAGACTCTGGCATGCAGCACAATACAATGCAATGAGGACTGACAGGGAAATGCGCACATGTTCGGTGGATGCTGTGGCAGTGGTGGGATATTCTCACCTGTACTTGGCAAGCATGCCTAGGGCATGGCCTCGCGCGAAGGGTTGCATGGGTGGTGTCGCAAGACGGTAGAGAATCGAAAGGGGGCTGCTTGAAGCTTCCTTGATTCATGTGAGTGTTGAAGCTGTGGAGGCCTTCGCGCAGCAAATACAAGAGTGGGCAGTGGCCTGTGAAACCGAAGCATATGAAAGTGAGATTGGTGACTTGGCCATATGTACGGCTTGGCAGCCGTGCCCTTGCTCTGCTTTCTTGGAAGTTCTGCGTCTGTGGCATACTGGTTCTAGTGAGGCACGCGTGCGCACAGCTTCTCAGTGCCGATGCTGGTGGCGAGCCACTCTGGGCAGACCGAAAAGGCCCAGGAGCTGATGAGCGACATGGAGGCCTCGCTGAACGAAGAGGCTCGAAGAGACAGCAAGTCGACTTGACGAGTCAGAACATGAGAAACGTGTGGCAGGTCAGTTCCAAGAAGATCTCTCCCTCCAGCGAAGCTTGGATGCTGGGGCGCCTGTTGGCTGCAAACTGCCATCTCCGTGCCGACGCCGACGGGATCGCCGAGAAGCTTCGAGGCTGGAAGGGTGGTTGCATGTGTGACAAGGCAGTACGCCGTAGACGCGACGGCAGTGCCGGGCTGCAGGCGTGCTCGACCAAATCCTGGCACGACGCCTGGCGCAGCCGGAGAGCTTGGAGACGGCCGACGCTGCTGAGTCCTGGGCCTCGACCTGAGGCTCAATATGTCTGTTACTGATATGAGTACTAACATGTGCTTAAAACACCAATGCATCAAAACAATCTTAATACATATGATACGAATATTACTAATAGTGAAGCGGCCGACTTAGATCGACCTTCCGGACGCAGTGGGGGGACAGGAAACCGACGTGGAGTTGTCTTTCAAAATCAAACGGCTCCTCATTGCCATTGTTATTGCTGTTATCAGTCTTAGTTATGGATATTGTCAGTAAGATCATAATGATGATGGGTATTCCTACTATTTACCCTGCCTGGCGACTCGTTCAGGGATGCAGGAGGCAAAATCACTTTTGCTAATACTATTCTTTCTCGCTCTCTCGCTTTCGCTCTCTCTCTCTCTCTCTCTCCCTGTGTCTCTTTCTCTCTATCTCTCTCTCTCTCTCTCTGTCTCTCTCTGTCTCTCTCTGTCTCTCTCTGTCTCTCTCTGTCTCTCTCTGTCTCTCTCTGTCTCTCTCTGTCTTTCTGTCTCTCTGTCTCTCTCTGTCTCTCTGTCTCTCTGTCTCTCTGTCTCTCTGTCTCTCTGCCTCTCTGCCTCTCTGCCTCTCTCTCGCTCTTCACATGGTTGTCATGGGTATCAGTATCTTTCTTACCACTGGGAATATGGTTCTTCTTACCATTATTTTTTATTGGTGTGATTATTATTAATAGTATTATTAATATTATTTAGCATTTTTCGTATTATGAGTAGTATGAGAATTATGAGTATTGAGAGTATTGTGAGGATTATTAGTGTTGTCAGTCTTAGTAGTACTATTAATTAGTATTATTCGAATTATTCGTATTCTCAGTATTTTTGGCATTCTTCGTATTGTTAGTAGTGTTGAAATTATTGGTCGTATCATCAGCATTATCAGTATTATTAGTATGATTCGTATTATCAGTGTTATTTGTCTAGTAGTATGTCATTTGCGAACGGACCTCGATGCCCAGTCCAATTCGCGGCCGTCACTATCAGAGGTATGGGAACAATGCCATGAATCCATCATGTACATAGAGCAAGACACCGTCTCGCGGGTCTTGTCTCACAACCTTGCCTGTACATGGGACCGCTAGTCGGACCATGTCACAGCGCCAATCTTATACGCTCCGCGCAACGTAACTTTGGCTCAAGACCAATGTGTAGGCTATGCTGAAAAGCATACGCTTACTGCCTTGCTAGCAATAGCTGATCAAGAAGCAAAGAGAGCCCTCCCGTGCACAGACAACTCGTTGATTGTATTCCGACGAGAAAAGAAGCCGACCGAGTTTGCCTGCAAGGGAAATTTGGTGGGTGCGTTAACTATCTTTGGACGTTTGTCAAGGGCAACCGACAAAGCATGTATCAGCTCTTGGTGAGGAGAGCGATACAGGCAACAGCCAGTACCAAAACCTCACGCATCATTGTTAGTAGCCTTATTGTTAAGACTATCATTATTCCTCTTCTCAATGTTCTCTGACCCTCTCTGCCGAGCAGAGGCCTGGGCTTACTTGATGCTTTACGGCGGCAGGGACCGGCCTCCGTTGGGCTTCGAAGAAGGGTTCAGGGTCTGGGGCCTAGGTCCTAGGGTAAATGTATGCATATGTGTGTCAGTGTATGTATGTATATATATATATAGAGATATGTTTGTGTCTATGTCTTTTCATGTGTAGATAGATAGATGGATAGAAGGTTTAGGAGTTTAGGGGTTATTGTGTCGCGTGGATGCGAAAGGGGTTTGGGTTATGGGTTTAGGTTTTAGCAGGTCGAGGCCTGGCTAGACTTGAGTCCAGTAGCAAAAAATGGTTTTGCAGCAGCGCTGAGATCGAGGCGGGCATGTGCAAGTCAGTCCAAACATGCTTTAGGAAGGCTGCATCGACGGCCCGCGACACCCAGCAAGGTAGCTGTTTCCTTTTTTTTTTGTCTGTCTGTGTGTGTGTGTGTGTGTGTGTGTGTGTGTGTGTGTGTGTTTGGGTGCGTGTTTCACCCGTGTGCCAAATCCGAAGTGTAAAGAAGTGCTCAAGCTCGACTTCCCACCGAAACTTGTTTAAATCGAGCACATGGCTTCGTCCCGACGTTTGGCACAAGTGGACTGGGAGTCCACGGATGGGATCTTTCTGCGCAACATCCCTGCAAAGTGTGATGAGCAAACTTTGCGCAACTTCGTGCAGGCGACGGGGGTGACAGATTTCAGTGCAGAGATGGCCGTCTTTCCCAATGGCAATGCTAAGGGATTTGCCTCGTTCCGCTTCAGTGAGAGGTCTGCAATGCAGGACTTCGTCTCCAAAGTCCATGGCCAGTTCATCCCAGGCTTTCAGAAGACAACTCCGCTATGTTGCGAGCCACTGAGGGGCACAGAGTCACGACGATTCCTTCGCAGTAGAAGCTACATGCCTGCGTCATCACAGCCATGGGCACCCGGGCCTCGCGAGCACAGTTCCATCAGTGGGGCAGGACAAAATTCCACCGGGAGCTACGGGAAGAGCAAGGGCACAACCGGCTTCAGCACGATGGTCAGCGGCAGGGATTTCCAATTCGAGCCTGGACATCGTGGTACCACCTCTGCTGCATGCATGATGAAGGTGGCGAACGAGGCAACTGGTGGGGTCATGGTCATCGACCAGCAGCCAGCATGCACGACGCTGTTATGCCCAGATGGAACGTTAAGGTTTCTTCTTTAGCTTGGTCGTCAGGTGCTCGTCGAAGGTTGAGATGAGCTTCATTGTGGCTGTCTGGTCCTCGGGGTTTGGCCCGCGCACCACTGCCCACGTACACGGATCCGGTGTGCATGATCGCAGTTCAGCCGACTGTCTGATTCGAGCAATGATCTCTCAGCTGCAACGTAGTTGCATTTTGGCAGTTCAGGCTGACTGAGTTTAGTGCTTGCTAGCAGCACTGTCTGTACAGATTTTCGGCTGATTATGGGCTTAAAGATGCCTGTTGCAGATTGGTGCATGCATGGGAAGCAATGGAATTGTTGACTTCCGCTGCTGCATCTGAATTCAGCCGTTATATAAACATTGTCCGACGGTCATGCTTGATCATTGGTCAACTCACCGAACCCAGCTCTGCGCTGGGAGAATACACAGAAAGAGTACCATGTTATGAAGATTTTCTGCACTGTGTGCAGAGTGTACAGAGGCCAAGAGAGGAAGCCTGATCGGATTCAAGAGCCAGCCGTTCCTTAAGTTGACAGGCTGGGATTTCCTGTAAAGCGATAAGAGGAGAAACAGCGGTAACTCAGATTCCCGTGAAAAAAAGGTATGAATATGAAACAACGAGAACAGAAATAGCGGCCAAGGATTTTTTCAAGCTCCCTCAAGTGCTGATGGGCTGTTCAGCGCAGTGTGTCGGTCGCTATGGACCACTCACTGAATAAACATTAGACTTGCTAGACCATGCTGCGCCAGACTTGGGGCATTGTTCCAGCCAGTGAAAAGATGGCATGCCTGATATCCTGATGTTGGTATGCGACCCCATGGGGAAGTCCGTTTCTGCTTGTACAATCACCATGTCTAGGATTCGAGTTTGGGGCGTGGGATCGGCGAATGCAACGAAAGGATATTCAAGAATAGCAGACACTGCAATCTCTCTGGGCACATGCTCGCGTTGCACTATGTTGAAAGCTGTCATGAAAGGGCTTCTCAATGGTTTCATGTTGCGTGTAGGTTGCTGTTTCCGGAGCTTCGAACAGCCAAGCCTTGGCTGCAAGGTCCGTGGAAGGTTCCTAAACCTGTTGTTGTCATTATTATTGCTAGTATCAGCATCTGTATGTGCATTCGTACTATTCGTACTCGTACCCATATCATCCCATGTCAGACGTAGCAGCGAGTTTCAGCTTTTTCAAAATCCTGTTTTCCGAGATGTTTGTGCGCGAGGAGTCCTCGGATCTCGGGGCCTGGCTCAAGGCGCCCGAGACCGTTGCAGTGACTCAGAAAGTAGGGTTTGGGGTCACGGTCAGACTCTTCAAAGGCCAGCCGCATCTTGTGGAACTCCGTCGATGCCGCCGGCGTGGAGATGGGAAATCGGATGTGGGTAAGCACGACGCTTTTATCAAAGCTCTCTGCCTCTCTGAGCTCAGAGGGACGGTTGTTGTGTCTAAGGATGGCCCTCCTTGCCTTCTCCAAGCAGCTGGATGCAAGCTGCATCTGTTCGTCGCCCGACCCCTTTGCCCGGGAAACCGTCGTCGCTCTTTCCTCAGCTCGCTATAGTGGTTTTAGCAGCTAATCCTGCGCTTGCGCCAACAGCCTCTGCGACAATCAGCACTCAGCCACATCTGCGACTTCGGCAAAGACGGTGTCGAGATTAGGCGGCCATGTCAACGGATCATGTGGTCTCGATTGCCGAACCCATAGATTGTTGAATCTTACCGATAATCCGCAGCCGCTGAGAGCTGGGCTGATGAATCGAGCGGTTCAGCTTCCCAAAATCACGATGTCGTAAATTTGTGCTTAGGAAACGATTAGCGACATCTTGTCTTTCCTCAGGTGCGGGGCTCAGGTGCAACGTGAATATAGTTCTGGACGAAGTGACTGCACGTTGCTTCGTTCTAGAGCTAATTAGGCTTCTGTGATGGCAGCTTTCAGGAGAATATTTCAAACTCCCTGCTGCATGCCATGCACTGCTGTGAGGCATTCGTGTTTATTGCGATGAGTACTCTTACTACATGCTACAAATATTCCTATTATTGGTTCAGTTGTTTTTTGCTTAGGCTGGATCTTCGAGCCCTTCCAAGTGCCGCAAATGGCGGCGCAGATCCCGAGACTTGGCTTTCGTCCATGGTAGCTTCAAAGTTTGGAGTGAAATGCCAGCAAATTCGAGAGAAGATGGAGAGGGACCTTCATTCTGAAATCTATCTCGGCCTCTCTCCTACTACAGCTTGCTCGTCGGCACACCGAGATATCAGGAAGACTTGAAGTGCCTGTGCCAGCCCGAAAAGTACAAATCGTACTGCTTATTGGGCAGCATAGAACTCCGTATTTGCACACAGAAAACATAGCTGGTCCAGCGCCCACCAGCATGCTTCCTTCTACGCGAAGGCTCGACATGGAAAGTCGCAAGGCATGGATGCCCTAATCAGGCAGATGGGTGACAGTGGACCGAACGGAATCAGGGATGCCGGCATGGGAGACCACGGAAAGATCGACAAAGCTGTTGCTGTGGGTGCTGCATGCTGGGGTGGGCTGGATGCGTCACGTCCGAGAGATCCCCAGCCCAAAGCAGAAAGGGAGAGCGAGCGAGAGAGCGGCAAAGCGAGGGATGGGTAACGGCAAGGGGTGACGGAGGAATGCGAGGAGGGGAACACGGCAGCAAAACAAGTGCGCCCATAGAGGCTTCCGGAACAGTGTGTTGGCAGAACGCGTGCTAAGGATCTGGTTGGTCAACACCAACTATCCCTTTCTGATGCGATGCGCATCCCGTCGTCAAGAGTTGATGGCGACCGCAGAGAATTGCTCCTTGTACAAGTAACACGGTGGCCTTTGCCCATGGACTCGAATGCACACGGGAAGCGTGAACTGCTGGCGAAATGTGTGTCAATGCGTGTCTGCCTGGTAGATGAATTCACTAAGGCCAGGTTCCCGAAGGCGCTTTCCGCGCCTGGGCCATCAGCCTTGTAAAGCTTGCGAGTGTCCAGGCAGGGCGGGGCAGGGCTCCAGCCTTCAACTCGTTTCCTGAGATGAAACCTGAAAGCCTGAAACACGCGTGTCTTCAAGGCAGATCTCGAAATTGAGGACTTGGCCGAGGTCTTTCGCGAGGCGATCTCATCGCTAGACCTGAACGAGACATTGGGTGCATGCCACCTCTGTTCTGATGAAAGACAAGCAGAACGGAAGACCAAGAAGAACGCCCCCCCCTACAGTTTCAGCTGGAGTTCTTGTTTTGCTTTTGCCGTTGTGCACGAGTCCGCAACCTGTGTTTGGAGTCTGGCATCGCTTTTGGCGAACTTGGGGCAAGCCTGCACATCGACCAAGCAGAGTGACTGAACTGGGATGCTGAAAACTTGATGCAGCGTACTGCCACAGGCAGTGGCGCGGCCAAAGGCCTGTCAATGGGTGACGTCGATTGGAACTTGGGCTTCGGCTCCCCAGAAACTCTTCCACAAAAGAAGGGATGTCTCGTCGGGAGAGTTGGGGCCCGCCACCATCCCACCGGTTTCCTGCAAGAACACAGTTCACTCAACGGTACGGTATAGGAGCAAGGATCGTTCGGACACCGCGTGCTGGTTGGAAATCGTCCCCGACAACTGGGATGCACAAAAGCCAATCTGCTGATCTGTTGACATTGATCAAACGTTGCAAAGATACTCATCCAAGCAGCCTGACCATCGAATGTGCTTCGGAAGTCAAACCGGCTCGTCATGTGTGCTGGCATCTAACAAGTCCATTGCTTCAAAAAAGTCAACCGGCTCGGCGCCGACGCGAGGTCCGCTTGCATGTTGCATAATCCCACAGGGTGAGCTGCGAACGTCACACGCAACTACTGTGATGGCCACTGTGCAGAACGCCCCCCGGAAGGCTTCGACGTTGGCGTTTCAACCTTTCTCATGTTGGCTGGCCGCACCAGTACTTGCACCGAAACAAGAAAGCTTTGGCTGACGGTTGCTTTTCCGCGGACGCGGAAGCGCTGACGCTGGTGTTGTCGATGTTTGGTGTGAAGGGAAGAACTACAAACCCTGCCATCGCATGAGTGAGAGCACAGAGACCTTGCTGAGTCAGGCAATGGAAAGCACAGTTCCTGGAGACCTCGCACTGGGAGCTACAACTTGGGCTTACGCAATGCAGCTCAAAGGCGATGAGAGGTGTGCTACCTTCGATTTTTAGTAGTAAAAACACTAATCAAACTATTATTCGCCATCTCGTCTTGGTAGTGACAGCAGAACTTCTGAGAGGTCTCGGTTTCCTGACTGCTGCCAAGGTACGTAGCTGAGTGGAAGCTCTTGTCTGCCACAGCGCCTGGAGAATGAACGGCTCCTCTTGCGATGCGCTGACAAAGGGGCATTCTGCGCTAGGGATGGTGTTGGGTCTTGTGGAACCGTTGGGGGCATTTTGGACGCTTCTGCTTCTTCTTCTTCTTCATTATCTTCTTGTGGTGAGCGCTATGGTTGGCTCTAGCTAGGGGAGATTTCGCCGATGTCGCGGGCCATGGCAGGCTCGGGCCTCCACAGCGATGCCTGTTGGTGCATTGTCACTTCCGTCGCGGCTTCCGAGGCGAGCAGCCGCTGTCGGCGCGGTCGTCCGACGGTGAGATGCGCAGCGCGTAAATGCGATCGTGAATGCCGCTCAATCCTGAGTCTGTTTTCATGCTCCGAGGCCCTGCCAGCATGCAGCAACATGGCAGAATTATGCCAGAAGCTGTGCCACACACATCCCGTCGCCACCGGGCCTCGAAAGGCAAAAAATGATGCGCCAGCGTGAGCTGGTGCTAAAGAGGCAGACGGAAGCAGCAAAATCGTTTGGGGTCGCATCCTGAGCTGCGAGCCGCACAAGACTGGGAGCATCCGGCACTCCATCCAGGATTCGAAGAACCACTGCGCTTCTGTTGTGAGGTGGTTGCCCAGCAACATCCCCCACCACGGCCAGCTGACACACCACGCCAGGCCCGAGATGGGGGCTTTTGGAGTGCGGGAGATTCATGGCTTCTTCGAGGTGCTCAGTGCGAGGGGGGCCCCGCCTCCGCCGCCGGATGCACCGCGAGTTGGCATCGTCGGATCCGCAGAAGTGCAGGAGGCGCAGGCCTTGTTAACCCCGCACAGATCGAAGAAGCTTGTCAAATCATTCTTTGGCAAGACTCGCATGCCCCTACTCCACTTGCTTTCACCCTGCAACACCAGGCCGCGGAGGCTGTCGTGGAACATGACCGGGTCCCACAGGCGTTCGTGCACATCTCTGCGCGATTCTGCGTGGTGATTCTGTGGCGTGGAGGCCCAATCGCTGGAATATTCATTGGAAGAAGAGCTTCTCGCCAGTGGCAAGGCAACCACGCAGGGTAGCTGTTTCTACCTCTGAGTTACCTAGTCACCGAGTCGCCTCATGTTGCAGGCCATTGAGCTCGACGAGGAAGACTGCGGCGACTGCGGTCCGGACTTGGGACACCACGGACAGGTTCTCAATTCGAACCCGGGGCGACATCTCGTCTTGACAGCACTCGGCACTGAGGCTGGGATCTGGAGGTGGATAGAGGCAGAGCATGGCAGAGCTCGGAGCGCTCCGGGCTCTCACATCTAGACCTAGACTATCCGACTATCCTAGACTCCTGTTCTTTCTGAACCTTCGTGGCGGTGGCGCAGGGTTAACAAGGAATTGCAGCATGCACGATATCGCAGACAGGGACGATAGTCACCTCCGAAGTATCGGAACCTCTCACGGCCAAAGCATGCCATGGGACATCGTCTCAAGACTGCTCCTCCCCAGACGACCAGCCAAGCGCAGGCGACGAGAAGCAGACCCGCGCCAAGAGGAGCTTCTGGCGACCTTGGAAAGCGGAGCAGAGTGCTATGCTCTGCATTCAAGCTTTAATGAGCGTTTGCAAATCTCTTTCCCAACCCCATACTGCCAACCTTTGGGCGAGGTGATGCTGCCGCTCGGATGCAAGTTGTGCTTGAGAACGGACGAAGCTCACGCGGCGGCTCGCTCAAGGTGGCAAACTGTCCTGTCGACGAGGTGTCGCGCCACTCGGCAACGTACGAAGAAGCAGAGTAGCAGCAGGCAGCAAGGTGCAGACCGGCACACATTGGCCAAACAATAGCATAGATCAGGCGTTGAGTCGCACGATTCCTGACATGGCACACCCCAGAAAGCACTTCCAGCCACTGCCCTCCGGATGTTTCATGAATCCAGCAATCGTTCGCACTATTGCCGAGCTTTCTCAAGATCAATGAGCTTGATTTCCATGTTCCAGCCTAGCAAGACCAAGACCTGGCATATGTTGAGGCTAACGTGAGGCTCAGCCACAAGGTTGTCACGATGCGCTTTCTGTACCTCCTAGGCGTGGAGCTAGATGCCTTGAGTGGAGACTCTCCCGAGCCTGGAAGAGACCGGACACTTCACTGCACTGTGGTGCCAGGCGTGTATACTCTGAGTTTATAGATTGGGGTAGAGGATTTAGGGCTGTAACTCTATTTTCGATATGGGACAGGGATACGGATATGCGCAGAGGTCGTCAAATTGTTCACCGCTTGTTTCGGGAGTGTGAGAAAGAGGGCACCAGACCTGGCGATGGAGGCCGAATTGGTGAGGTCACAGAAGCGCTCGATAGGTTTGTGCTTCAGTAGACTTTCATTGAAACTTGCGCAAAATTTTGTTCCGTCCCCCACGTCTCTCTCATTCTCTCTCCTAGCAGTGTTGCATTGTGCTTTATGCATCTTGATGCCGTGGCCCACCTACTAGGCCGGAGGGGAAGTCTGCGAAGTTGTTGTGAGTTTCGGCCGAGCTCAGGAAGCACGTAGGCTTTGGAGAGGAGGCCGGCAGCATCCTCAGACGATGTGCCTGGACAGCGCAACCCGTGACGTGACGGTTCTACTCAGGAATCCCGAAGTCCGGGGTCTGGGACTTGTTCCGCATGTCACCTGCGTTTGCCCTTGCTTCAGTTGGAGAACTCATGCGGCGAGGCCACATCCGCTTTGAATATGGGACGAGTTGCCACGCCATGGACAGGTTCATCCAAGGCCGGAGAGGGAAACGCGAGACGTCCACCCCACCTCTTGGTGTTCTGAGTGTCTAGGCGGGCTTAGATTCACTGCTCCCTGGAGAACTGCAGCAGGACACAGCGTCGACTGGCAGCATGATTAAGCAGCTTGTTTACGTTTTGCGCTTGCGCCACAGGACTTGAGCTCATCAGCCCTGGAAATTGTGGAAGAGGGCACGCACCCTAAAGTAGTCAGGTAGTCTAGCAGTTGCAGTCCCGACAATTCCGTTTCATTGTCTCTCGCCTCGCTTGGAGATGGATTGACCGACAACTCTTTCAGGTGTGGCTTGATGACTCGGTCAGCGGGGGGCTGAACTACTCTTGCATGGAGGGCCGCGCTGAAACTAGCACTGCGCTCCTCCAAGGAAGGTGTATTTTTCCACTTCGCGGGTAAACGTAGTAGAGCAGATGATTCACAAGAGCGAGGTGGAACAGCACTTAAACTTAGATATGGCTGCTTATCTCCGAAGGAGTGTAGCACCAACGATAGATTTTTATACTGTCTGCTGCCTGCCGAAGTTGAACCTACACGGGCCACGCAAGTATGCACAGGTGTTGCAAGCATTCAGGCAACGGCTCCCAGACACTGCACCTAGCGTCCGGGCAGATGATCCCTGCCTCCCACAAATGCTTTGTCCTTACATTGCCGAACACCTGGCTCCCTGGGCGGGGGTCATGCGCACTCGGACTGGTTCAGCACGCGCAAGCGTGCCCGTCGCTGGACCTTGAAATTCTTTGCCTAAGACAGGCGAGACTTTGCACAGTTGTCCAGCCGAGCATCCACTAGACTTGCCGAGACACGCGGCCTGCCCTTTTGGTCTTGTAATGCAGCTCTAGGGGATGAGGTGTTCTCAAGCACTTGGCCAGGCCTTCACCCTTCTCTCCTTCTCTCTCTCTCTGTCTCTGTCTCTTTCTCTTCTTCTCTGCAGAAACCACAATTTTGTGGCGCGTCTTCTCCCGGTCACGGCTTCAAGACTGCAAGCGGCATTCCAGAAAAAGGCCGCTGTGGACGGAAGCAGGCAGGAGGAAGTTTGTCGCTTGTGATTGCCAATGTACCATTCTGCTCAGGATGTGCTAGAAGTTTGCATGCTATCGGAGGTGGCAGTCTTCAGCTACAGTCTTGAACAGCAACGAACTGGGATCCAACCGCAGACGACTGTAGTTCACGGCAGAGTAGAGGAAGCATGTGAGGCCTCAGCGCACCCGCTCTCTTCTTTTTATGGGGCTGCAGGATGCCCCAACTGAGGGAGCCGATAATCACCAACTCCTGGCTGGAGTTGTGCGCAGCTTGCAGGCCAGCGGTGCCCGTAATCGGCACGGAGCCTTGGCACAGAATTCAGAGGGAGGGGCCGAGAAATGAAGCCAAGGAGTCCGCTTTCTTGCGCTGATGCTGAGAGGTCAAAGCTGGGCAGAGTGGCTGGAAGCAAGGGGCAATGTGTCCGCCCGAGATCCGGCAAGGCCCGTCTTTTTTCCGAGTTTTTGCCCACTTCTGAATCAAAGCATGGGGGGAGTGTTCCAAACTCCGCGCAAGGCACGAGATCAGTGCCTTGAAAGCCTTCCTGGAGGAATGTGGATCTGGAGATTTGGGGAGCAAAGTTCTGCGTAACCACCGGAAGAGGCTGAAGGTCGGATTGGAACCACGCATGTGCATGTCATTCGAGGGCCCGAAGCCCCACGACAACAAGTCCCGCGCGGACTTAACCTAAACGCATGCGTGGGATTGGCTCTGCAAGGCAAAGGAGCAGCTCAAGGAAGCTCTTGGCAGTCGGGGTCCCGTCCTCTCAATTCGGAAAGGGCAGGAGTTGTGAGATGATGCGTGCATAGCGATCAGGTGATCGGACCGCCAGTCGCCTGCTGCGACTAGTGGAGCTCACAAGAGCTCACCCAAACTTCGGCCTCTTCTTCGGACTCGCCGGTCTCGGAGAAGGTCGGAGAAGGTCACGGGCGGCAGCCACCCCGGACACGGACACCTTTCAGGCTTTGCAGGCAGAGGACGTTTTGGTGGCAATGGACTGCGAGATGGTTTCCACGGATCTGGAGGAGGATGCGCTCGCGCGCGTCTGCGTCTGCAACGCCCGGGGCGAGCTGCTGCTGGACAGGCTGGTGAGGCCTCCCGGGAAGGTCACAGATGCCCGCAGCAGTATCACCGGTATCGAGACGAAGGACTTGGAGGTGGACTATAGGCTCGAGGATGCACAGGCAGACATCCTCGGCCTAATCCATCCATTGACGGTGGTTGTAGGCCACACATTGCACAAAGACCTGGCTGTGCTACGGCTCGATGCACCTTTGGTTTTGGATATTTCCCTTTTGCAGCTTGTCATCACACCTCGAACCCTCTGGGGGGGGGGGTTTTCAGAACAGGATGCTGGTTGCAGGCTTTAGAGTTCGTCATTGATAGGTCCAGCGGTACTTGTTTTAGTTGCGGTCTTCGTTGACAGGTATGGAGTCGAGGGTCAACCAAAGCGGCGACCCGCATTGGCACAGCTGGTGCAGCACATCCTTGGTCAGGACGACTTCCGTGCCACTGGCACGCACGATTGTGCCCAGGATGTGCTCGTGACGATGCAGATTGCTCTGCGGCGGCTGAGAGGTTCCGGGCACTCCCAAGAGATGCCGGCAATGATTTGGGTGCCTCCCGCCCCTGCCAGCGACTCGGACCTGCAGGCAAGGACACTGTTCTTGCATCGAATACCGCGGCGAGCGGAGGCATTCGGTGCCATTACGAAGGTCTTCACCTCCTTACGAAGCGATTTGGCATCTCATGTGGAGGGCATCACGATGGTGAAGGGATCGGAGGGATCCGGAACAGCCCTGCAAGGTGCCAGGGCCCTGTTCACGTCTGCAGAGGCAGCAGAAAATGCATTTCTGGCACTCTCGGCCGAGTCTATCGAAGTTGACAAGGTAGGGGACCTTGATTTGAGTTGTCTGCTTGTGTAAGTTTTGATCCTGGTGTTGGAGTTAAAAGACGCCTTAGCTGATTGAAGAGCGTGCCGTGGGGAGTTTTGAGCAACTCCTGGAGGTCCAGCGGCCGCAGAAGATGGTTCGCATCCACTTCGAAGATCGGGACGCTTTGATTTGCGTTCGGCCATGCCTGGGTGGGGTTGGCAAGGCTTGCTTGGCAGCTCCCCAAAGTGACTCGAAGCGTCTCCAAGCCGACGTGCCAGAGGCGAGGCTGGCGAAGACGTCACGTAAGGCCACGACCAAGGCCAAGGCCCGGATGCCCAACACGGTGTCAGTGCTAAGGAAGGAACCCTGATAGTAACCTCTGGGGAAGCCCTTTTTCGGAGCCCATAACTGTGCCGCCCCATCTAGCATCTGACCGGCGTTTCCTGAAGGGCCGATATTTTTTCCCTTGTTGAGGGTTGGCCTGGGTGGCGGCGAGCCGCAGAGGAGGCGCTCCGGGATTCCGGCGGCTCGGCCCCTTGGAAGGACAGATGTTCAGGATTTTGGGCAAGCTTTGGATTTAGAGAGACTCAAGGAGGCATGGCAGGCAAACGCTGCAATCAGGGCATCTGGTTGGGCAGAGAATTCCGTGTCCGATCGGACTCCTGATTCGTGTCGAGTACAAGTACATGCACCTCGCTTCGTCAGGATTCTACATGTGCGACAATTGATATGTCAGCCTCGGTTCTGTTTCTGCCTCCGGACCACCGTTGAGTACCCTACTTATCTTTTTGCATTCAGCAAAGATTGATGATGATAAATGCTTCGTAGTCACTCAGTGTTGCTGGGTCCTGCCGACTTCGAGCACAGCCCTGAAGGACTTGCTGGAGGCCATGGTTGCCAGGCGACGCACGCAGGCCCGACTCGGGGGCAGCGCAATGGGTGAGCTCTCAGAAAAGCTAGTAATAATAGGTATAATAGTAATAGTAGCAATAATAGTAATAGTAATAGTAGTACACCTACAGCTTCCACCGAAGCTTTCAGGCCGGGGGCCGCCCGGGCGAGGCAGAGGAGCTCTGGGGAGTCTCTTTAGGCTCAGCTGAGCCCAAAAGGGCTCTCACAGTCGTAGCCTACGCCCTGCGAGGAGAGCCAGGATCTCTTGGAGCTGCGAGCGCTGGCCGCCTTGCCCGAGGATGTTCGTTCAAAAGGGCAATTTTAGGGCCATGCCATGTCTCTTGCGAGTCTCCTGCGAGGAGTATCTCAGTGATGCCGATCCGATGGTGCGCCTGCCCTCAAGCGGAAAAGGCTGAGCGATGGTGTCCGAGATGAGAAAAGCATACTTCTGAAGCGATGCAAAGCCGTGGCGTGTAGTGCTGTGCTGCTGCCACAATCTGTTTGTTTGGCCGGCCGCATGGTGTTTCAAGACCTTCTGCATGTGGAAGGGATAGTTCATGTGTGAAATGATGTGCAGTCGTACAACACATCGGGTTGGGTTCTCAAGTTATTGAGCCCCATGGCAGAAGTCACAGACATCGCGACTTCAGGTGGACATAGACACGTCTCTGCGGACACTGAATGTTGCCGAATCTCCCCGACACGACCAGGAGAGTAGAGCGTTCTGCGCCCACAGAGTTGCGCATTCGAAGGCCAGGCGTGTACAGGCAGTTAGGAAGTCATTCGTGGTTCGGGCTGTGCCTAAAGTGCAGTGACTGGTGTTGCTCATGCAGATGCCAGTTCCGAAGCTGCTGCAGCGCCATGAGAATGATTTCTGGGCAGGTCACGTGGCAGCAAATGGTTCGAAGCGACGCCGACCCAATGCTGCACAGTGGCGAGCGGCAGGCACGGGTCGTCGTGTTGATTTGATGCACGGAAAGGTCTTAGCTCAGACTGCAAGTGCTGGGCTGGGTTTCAGTGCACCAGGTCCATCGGCAGGCGTCGCACCTCCTCCGAGCGAAGTCGGCACTTGAGCCTCCCTTTGATTAAGCTACACCGGAGACCGGAGACGTGGGGTGCCGGCAAGCGCTGTTGATCGAAGGACCTGATGCATGCCACCATCGTGGACATGCAAGCCGCCATCCCCTGCTTGCGCAAAGCCTTGAGATCCAGATGCAGAGAGGACCCTGCCTCTCCCTCTCCGTCTCCGTCGTATTCCACGAAGTGGCGCGACGTTAGAGAGATGGATTCCCAGCATTGTGTTGTGCAAGCGCAGAGACGGGAAGATGATCCAGTGAAGTGCAACACTGAGTCTGATCCATTGTGATTCTTTTTTCCTGTTACCATCCGCAGCATTCGAGGCAGAGTGACACTCAGCAATTCTCTCGAGACATTCAACAAAACGAAAGAACACCAAGCTTAGCACAGCCTCATTCTGAGCTATTTGTCCCGAGCCAGATCGTGTAGCACGTCGCAGCTGTTTCTGAGCACATTGAGCAGGCAGGCACAGCCCTGTAGTCGTAGTCACACGAGGGCAAGATCAGAGACAGAGCAAAATGGCTTCCTTGCATTTGGGCATAACGCCTTTCCCAGTGAGTGCCAGGCCAGCTACAGCCAACTTGCATTCTTCGCATTGGTGGCTTATGTTGCACCCGAAGTGCTGCGCGTGAGCGCCTGTTTGGCGGGCGGGGGGGGGGGGGGGGTGGCGACCTCGAGGCAGGGCTGACCTTTGCCACGGCAGCCCGGCGCGAGGCCCGTGCCGCCGACACTGGTTGAATACTGCTTGGTCATGATGTGCCAAGACCTGACACGAAGCCACTCCCTGTGGGCGCAAGGTGGCGCGAAAGCCCAGCCTATTCTGAACCGATCCGAAGCCGTGCGGCTACAGCTGTCATCTTAGAGTTAGGTGTTCGTAGACCGCCGAAGGCGGCTTTCGGGCATGGTCTGAAGGCAGGGCGCTTCAGAGTTTGAAGCTCATATATATATATATATATATATATATATAATTATATAATATGGAGAGAGAGAGAGAGAGAGAGAGAGAGAGAGAGAGAGAGAGAGAGAGAGAGAGAGAGACAGCAACCGCGGCCCAAGCCACCACCACCACAACCACCACAAAGCAGAAGCAGTGGATCGTCCTACACTACGTCGGACGACAACACCACAAGCCCCACTGCCAACAACACGGACACACAAGGACGGGGGGTTGAACCACCGCCTGGGCTGACAGTCCGGGAAACATACACATTTGCAACCACCGGACAGCTACCCACAGACGCTCACAACCGACAACCGGAAGCCTACGCAGACGAAGAGGAAGAGGAAAGAGGCCGCCGGCGCCAAGCAACAGCCGCAGCCACAGGCAAAAGCAAACATGAGCGCGGGGGAGAACAGCGCATGAGGAACAAACGTGAAAAAGCCGCACTTAAGGCGTGGCTCAGGAGGCACCGGTACCAGTGGGGGTGGCCAGCAGACACGACCGACACACGGACTCGCACCCATCGCAATCGGGGGCGAAACGCGGGGCAACAGGCCCAGCCGCAGCAGCCACCACCACGACAACAACAGCCCGCAGCCACAACAACCACCGACTGGGGAGCACTACTCAACCGGCACCTGCTACCGTGGCCCACGCCAGCCACACCAGCTACGGACAGCCAAGCACCAAAGAACCACCCAGCCGCAGACGCCACCGCAGAGCTACCGGCGTCGACGGAGGAGAAGACGAGGGGAAAGCAGAGCACACCCACAGAGGTCACAGCCACGGAGCAGCAGCAACCGGAGGAGGCCCCGCCAGCAAACACCGACGCCACCGCACACAGCTACTATGGAGACTGGACCAGAAGCAAGCGTGCGACTGAAGCACGTGAACAACACGCCCAGCGGAACAACCGCCCACTCGACGCCGCACCGCAGAGTGAGCCACAACAACCTACAGCCGCAGCAGCACGTGACGGAGACAAAAGGAGCACGCAAGCGGCGGCCGACCACAAAGAAAGAGTGCGCAACAACCGCTACCTGCACCCGGACAAGGGGGAGCCACAGCAGCCACCACAACCACCGCGACCACCAACAGATGAGCCACATGCGGAATCTGCCTGGGGGGAAGAGCGCCATGCCACCGCACAGGAAGAGCCGCAAGCCCTTTTCCAGGAACTGGACGACGCGGCGAACCGGGGGAACCACATCAAGCGACGTGGCCCACCAGCGCTCCCACATACCGCAAGGACGGAGGTACTCTATGTGGCGGCAGGGAAAGGCAAGTGGGTCGCCCGAGTTGAATCGACCCCGGGGGCGCCCAATGCTCCTACCAACAGGGAGCAACCCCAGCGGGGGATGCTACCAAGCGGGCAAGAGCTATGGACTTGCCCTGCCCTACCGGACGGAGCAATCGTCGAAGTGGAGACCACAGTCGGCCTGGTGTACATGATGACGATCATCTCCCTACCGCCTGAACATAGACAGGAGGGGGGGACACTTGCGACCACCGTCGGGGAAGCCTTCTTCATCGAAGAGATCGACGGCGTCTGGATGATTAGACCCACAGGGGGGACTCGGCATGGACCGCCCCGGAGGAAATACCAGCCACCACCTGCCAACACTGGCCGGGCAGTTGGCAACAGCACCAACCCGGGGAAACCGGCCAAAGCCACAGCCAAAGCAGCCGAAGCGGGGAGTGCCCAGCCACCACAGAGAGGGGGAAGCATCAGCAAAGCCGCCGCCAGCAAAGCCACACCGCAGCCAAAACAACCGCCACAGCGACCAAGCCCCCTGCCAGCGCTACCTACACAAGGAGGGGGCACCACAGCCGACCTACCACCACAAGGCCAAGACACCTTCATGGACAGACGGCCACTGCGAGGCCAGGACCCACCACCACCGAAAGCACTACAACCGCCTGCACAACAACCACCACAACCACACTTCTTCGAACTGATAAAGGACAATAGACAACGTGGCCGAACCCCAGGGAACGGGGAGCCCGACAACACCGAGCTGTGGCAGCACCAGCACCTGCACATGCGGCCAACAAGACCAAGCACAACAACCACCACAACCACCGCCACCACACCGGCAGTCTGCAACGAAGACAGGGGTGAGCGCAGCCCCAGCATGGATGGGACAACGACAGATGAAGAAAACTTCGGGCTGATACGCAGGCGCAGACGCACGCCTGTAGGAGGGGGAAGGCGCAGAAATAACCGCGACCGCCAGCAAAGCGCCACAGCAGCAGCCGCACCCGCATTGCCGTCAGCTGCAATAGCCTCCATGCAGGGGGCACTGGTGGCAGTCGCCACACAGCTGCAGCTCATAGAGGAGATAGCGGAAAGCCTACAGGGGGCGGAAGGGCAGATCATCACGAACATCTGCTCCATCGCCCTTGCCATGCTTGCAGACACTCAGCGGGGAGAAAACCCACCGAGTGTGCCGGGGGCGATCCCGCACGAAGTCGAGTGTGGCGCACTACGGGAAGCCTATCGCCAGATCTCCAGCATGAGAATCAGACGGGGGGAAGGCCTCACTCATGAAGAATACGCCACAGACCTCAGCTCCGTCAGGAACCTGTGCAGCATGGGGGAAGCCGAGCTACGGGAGTCCGCGTCTGGGGGAGTCTCAGCAGCTGCGAGAACCAAGGCCATAGCAGCCGCGCAGCAGCTACCGACAGCTTGATACAGCCATACTGCCCGCACTGGGGGGCGACCGAAGCTGGAACACACTGCGATGGTGGAGTGACTTGCAAAACACCTTCATCCCAGCAATGACCATGGGGGAAAGGTGCCAGCGAGCAGACAAAACGCAAGTGCGAGAAGAGGGGGCGCCCGCCAGTGCGCACCCAGCGGACGCCCCGGCCCTGGCTGAGCCAGGAACCAAGGAGTGGACGGCGAGGACATCGAAGAGCCACTCCACGGCAAGACGGCTTATGGAAGCCGCACACCTACTACGTGAACAAGTTCCACGAATGGGGGACGAGTCCATCGGCGCAGCGGTGCAAGTACTGCAAGCGGTGGAAGCGTGGCAGCAAGCCTACTTCGGGGGAGTACATGCCGTACACGATGCCACGCAGACGGGCGAAGAAGAGGGGGAAGCGGATACCGGTGCAACGGCGGCCGCAGCTGAACAACCAGCAGCGGCAGAAGTACCAACCAGAGGTACGAAGAGACGTTGGCTGGGAGACAAGACCTCACAGACGCCGAAGCCAGGGAGCTACAGAGTGACAGCTTCATGGAAGTGGAGAACATGCCAACACTCCCGTTACCCACGGCCACGGACGTGGACACAGCGAATGCCACCACGCTGCCATGGGGAGACCTGGGGGAGACCAGCAGAAGGAGCCCTACTACACGAGTCAGCTCTGAGGGGGAAGGGAACAGCCCAGACTCCAGCCCGCGGTCGCATCGTCGGCGTCGGCTACATGCTGCCTTTTTCGATCGCCACGGCCCTATCTAAGAAAGAAGGGGGAACGTGAGCCACCACCCCCAGTGCCAAGCCCACACTTGAGTTTGTTGTTTCAACAGGTTAGCGTTTTCCTTTTGCACACCGGGCGACTGGCAAGGGGGACGACCATGTAGAATAAGAGCGGGACCTTCCCTCGTCTTCGTCACTGCACCAGGGGAGTTTTGTGTGTTGTTTTGTTTGGGGACAAAAGGGGGAAGGATCCCAAGCAGCCTATCCCGCATCGTACTCGTACTGTGTTCCTGCACTGCACGGTCCTTAGAGTGTTGCTTCAAATCAGGGGAAGGCTGCCGAACTACGTAAACTGTGGGGGGGGGGGGGGGAATTGCCTGACGAGGGTCTAAGGATAATGCCATAGAGGGCGCGGTGACGAGGCCGGGATGCGGGCTAAAGTTCGGGGCTGATAGGGGGGGTTTGACCGTCAGGCAACTTCCACAACCCAAACAGTCCAAGGGGGAAACTCTCCATGTAAAAAGACCCCAATGCCCCTCTTCCACAATCGCGGGAAGAAAGGGGGGGCCTCGGCCCGGGTCCTTCGGGACTTGACCCCTGCAGCGAGCGAGCGAGCGAGAGAGAGAGAGAGAGAGAGAGAGAGAGGGGGGCGCCTAGGCGCGGGCTCATGGAGCCTGACCCCTGTGAAGTGAAGTGAAAGAGAGAGAGAGAGAGAGAGAGAGAGAGAGAGAGAGAGAGAGAGAGAAAGAGAACTTGCTGGACGAAGCAGCAAAGGGGGTGGCAGTGCTGGTGGGGGAATGCCCATTCCGTGGTGGCGCAGACCAGCTGGGGAGGCCAACGCACCCGGCCGACGTCATAGGGCTCCAAGCAGGGGGGGCCGAAACAACGCAGCGTGAGGGAGCAGACCCACCGGACCCAAGGCTGGTGTATGCAGCCAAAGCCCGGCTCCGAAGGCTAACCCCGTTCCTGGTGGGGGACGTTCAACGGGAAGTGGAGCAGGCCCTGCAGGAGCTGGTCGCATGGACAGTGCAGCACTGGGGTGAGGAAGTGGAACTGGTGGGGAAGAACGACCTCAACACGCTGGGCATGACGCAGCTGGATGCCTGGGGGCATGGTGACCAACCCGAGCACGGGGGCAACGCGGCCAGTTCTACCAGAATGCTTACCCGATCCTCCGAAAGCCCGCCTGACAGACCAACACCTGAATGGGGTGAACGCCGCCGTAGTTTCACGAACCCCAGCTCCCTAGACCAGGATGACTGACACTGAAGCCGGCGTCCGTAGGGAAATCGAGGTTCATGGTCCGCGGTACAGGGGGGATTACCAGGTTGTCGGGAGCTAGGGGGTAGCAACTTTCCGCGAGAGCTGGGCACGACCAAGGTGATGCAATGTCGATGTTGTTTGGGGGCCGTTGTCAGTCTGGTGCCGGCTTAATGCCCTCAGTCGAAGCCCGAGCCCAGACAGAAGAAAAGCGGTAGTTGCAGAGTTCACCAGGCTTCAGGGCGGGGGTGGGCAGGTCAGGCAGTGCAGTTGCGCAAGGTTGTGTTCGGGATAAGGCGGGGAAGCAGGTGAGGTGGGGGTTGTACAGAAGCAGCCAAGGCGCATGTCCAAGCTCGGGGGGTGGAGCCCGCCGACAGGGGAGTGGCAACAAGTGTGGTGTTTGAGTGCTGGCTAATGGTTAGTCACTGCAGTGTGGTTGTGAATACCGGTGCCACAAATCCCCAGTAGTCTGAGCTGGAGCGACACGGATGACCCAGGTAAGGCCTGATGGGTTTACATGGTCATGGTCTTAGGTTAAGGTGGGTGGCGTTCTGGGGGGTATCAGGCATATCTGGGGGAACGTGGGAATCGCTCACCCCCGGAAGGGGCCTTGAAGACAGACCGCTGCGAACCGTTGTGGGGGTAGGCCTACGGGCCAGGGTCCTCCCCGGGGGACCCACACCCCTCAGCAAGCAAGCAAGCAAGCAAGAGAGAGCGTAGCCATTTTGGCTCAAGTCGCTCGCCTGCCTGCTCCTCGAAGCGGGTCGCTTCTCGGCCGGCCCCTCGAGCCACAGAGGGTTATCTCTGTGGGCTTGGGGGGTGGGCGTGCCGAGGGCGTGGCTTGAGGCCATTCGCCGTAACATGTCGGGCTCTCAAGTGCCCAAGGGGTCGCGAAGACCTCCTGAAACCGGCCCTCTCCGGAGGTGGTCCGGTAGTAGGGAGGGGCAACATGCCACTTGATGGAGGAACTCAGAGTGAAGACGCGACACCAGGGGGAGAACCACATCGTTCAAAAGGGCAACAGCGAGATCAAGCTGCTCGACCACCTCTCCCTCGCAGGCGACCTCAACCAGACGCTAAAGAGGGACCAGACTGGACGGGGACACGAAGCCCGGCATGAACGTGATAGTGGCAGGGACACCGAGAAGGCAAAGGACACCCGTGGCCGACGACGACCCAGACACAGCTGCAGCACCTCGAAGGCACAGGACACCAAGTGCCAACGACGACCCAGGACCAAAGGACGACGACACAGCTGCAGCACCTCGAAGGCACAGGTGAGAGAAGTGAGCGCCGACTACAAAGGCGAGGCACCAGTGGCTACAAGTTTTGGGACATATGTCTGATGTACACCCATGCAACTCGCCGGGGACACCCGGATCCGTGAACAACACCTCTGCCGCCGGTGGAAAAAGTGAAAGCGACACTCTGAAGCCACCTAACTTACCTTTTAATTTGTGTTGAGGGGCACCCGCTCATTTCCATGAACCCTAGAATGGCGTGCCAACAGCTTGCATAAGACTTGCATGGCCGTTAATTCAAGCACGTTATTCCCCTCGTACACACAGCCTTTTACATACAAGATTCTTAACAGTGCCGGTGCGAACAAACAAACGCCCCATACGGGGAACACAGTTTCGGAGCACCCTTTGCTATGTAAAGCCGAGCCCATCCAAACAAAATGTTGGATGGGGTAGCGCTAACGCGCGGGGCGGGAGGACTGCTCTCGCCCTACACCCCTAGCACAAAGAGAGAGCGAGAGAACTACGTCAAGGCTGTTGGTACATTTTGGGAAGAAGTGACTGCTGGGGGAACCGCCCCGGGAGCACGGTGACTGCGACACTGTTCGGTAGATCTGCCTGGAGACCGATGGACGACTGAGCTTGACCGGGGTGCTGTGGTCATGGTTTAGGAAGGGTGTTCTTCGGGGTTGGCGAGGGATTATCAAGCGCGGGTGGGGGAACTCGGAAGGGGCCGATCCGACTCTCGGACGCGGGCCTGGAAGGGTAGGCCTCCGGGCCACGGGTCCCCAGGGCCCCATACCCTTAGCAAGCAAGCAAGAGCGAGAGAGTGAGAGGGCGAGAGAGTGAGAGGGCGAGAGCGAGAGCGAGCGAGAGAGAGGCACTCCCCACCACAGCCCTGGCGAAAGCAAGAGTGAGATTGTACAGTATCTTGTCCAAGCGTGTGACCCGACTCCTTTTTCATATCCCTTCAAAATCCCAGAACAACAGGGGGCCCTAGAGGCCCCGGAGACTTCGCACAACTCCCATGCTCTGCAGAAGAAGAAAAGACACTGAGAATATCAAGCGGGTGGCTTTCCTTTGGGCAGTCTACTCATGCGGTAGTTGTGGTCCATGGAAGGCTCATCACATGCGTCGCGCGGGGCGGACGCATCAGCTCGGAGAAGCAGCAGATGCCAGGAGCCAGGAGGTTCAGGAGTTTCGAAGTGCATTTCTGCGGCAGACAGCGACTAGTGCTTTGGTAAAGCCAAGTCAAGAGATCTATCACACTCCCCGGGCACTTACAGAAAGGGCTTCATCCAAGAGAACCTCGAGCATGAGCGAGACGCCGGCAACAGATGCACAAGTGGACGCCCGAAGCAGCAACATGGAGAGCTCCAGTTTGGAAGCGACAGACCTCGCGCACTTTGATCGCGAGCCTGGCGACTTGGGAAAGCGCTCAACTTCCAGGACGTCAGCAGGTTCAGACAGCAGCAGGTGGAAAGTTTCAGCCAATGCAGGAAACTCGCTCGAATGCAGGCTGTCAGTGAACTTACACCGGGCAGACGATGTAGATGATGCAGACATCGCGGACATTTTCTCGTCGCAAGTCGGACAGCCACTTGAAAAGATTCCGAGTCAATCTCCATACGAGTCTCCGGCAAACAGTCCTCCTGCTGTAAGCCCCATGTCGAGCGGGCGTGAAGGAGGCTTCAAGCAAGCCGAAAACAGGGCCACCGAGGGCAGGCTGCAACCGCCGTCTTCCTCGCCTCGGAGTTTAAGCCCGCCGTCTCGCTCTCTGGATGCCAGGAGAGCTCGCGAGGAGATTTCCCCCGCGTTGGAAGAGTACATCACGTGGATGGAGGCACGTCAGGCACCAACGCCTCAACAGTCACCGCTTGCTTCTGGTCAGTCTGGCCGCAAGCACAGCAGCACCGTGAACAGCGCGGGCAGCATCCTCTTCCCGGAGAGGCTTTCCCCCCAACCTGGTAATTCAATCAGCGTCGCCAATAGCCTTGCAAGCAGCATGGCCAATGAGCTTCTGGGGAGTCGTGCGTTGGCGTCGCGATCGCTTCAGGAATATATCCTCTGGCTGGAAGTGCAGGATGCCAAAGCGGAAAGTGGAAGGCGATCTAGTTTGACAATCAACAGCCTTGCCAGTTCAAGTGCTGTCGACTTGCAGGCGATGTATGAGGCAGAAACCTCGAGAGCTGTGGAGAAGTACTGTGCTTGGCGTCAGTTACAGGACGGTGGTAGGCAGAAGCACCTGGACAAGTGCGGCAGCAACATGTCTGTTGAAAGTAGAACCTCGAATCAGCTGCCCTCGAGTCCAAGCTCGGATGCAATTCAGCGGCTACTTGAGGAAAGCTCTGGTGGGAGCGTACCTGCTCTCAGGGAGTACCGTCAGCAACTGGGCTTCTCTGATTCGTCGGGCTCCTCAGAGCAACGAGGCGACAGCAAGAAGAGAGTCTACACCGTTATCAACCTCCCGCCTTTGGACGAAGTCTCAGACGACATGATCGATGGTCTCTTCGCGAGCAGCGACCCGAAGCAGAGCTCGGGTAACAACACCTCCTCAGCGAACCTCTTGTCACACAGTTCTGACTCGCATTCAACCGCGCGTGCGCAAGTGCTGTCCAAGTCATCCGACGGATCTGCGTCCGGCTCGAGTATGCGCAAATATGTGGACCCTCGATGTCTCTCGAGCTTTGGAAGTGACAGTCTGTTGGATGATCAGATGCTGAGCAGCGAGGGCAAAAGTCAAAGCCTTGGGCAGGTGGGCCGACGGCTACAGACTGGCCACGCTGCGGTGCGCAGGACCGGCTGTCTGGAAGACGGTGCGGTCGGAAGCGACGCACAGCCACAAAATGCGAGAGGATGCGGCAGTTTTTACGGCAGCGGGTCGGTGATCAAGCAGGACGCAACATGGCCGTCAGTGAACCCTGCGAATCTCAAGAGCTTCGAGAGTGACGCATGCAATGAAAGCTCTGCTATGTCGAGCTTGCATGAAATTGCGGGCAGGTCTGTGGTGCCAGTGTGTGGTCCATAGGGAACATCACTCCGCTGCGCTGGAGATTCCACTTCCTGTATAGTGTGCTTAGCCGAGTGCTACCATCTGCAAATGGCAGAGGTGCAGCCTCGGAAATGATGGTCTGGTTGCATCACGAGTATGCATGTCCCTCGCACGCATTCGTGCGGGCCGTCCAACTAACACTCGGGTGAATGTGGCATGTGGCATAGCAGGACAGAGCAGGCACCGACATATGTAGTGGCCGTGGCCGCTCAGCAAGGGCCTGGGAGTGGTAGTTGGACATGTTTACACGTAGCTCGGTGAGAGTGTCTCTGTTTCGATGGGTTATTCAGAAGATGAAAACCGCCGTTTCTCCTGATCATGGGCAGACCTGCACCTTTTGGTGGTCTTTGCAGCAGAAGTACGGGTAATGTTGAGAATTTCATGGTATGCTTCGAGCAAGAAGTAAACTTTGTGATTCTGCTTTTGGCAAGCTTGGTGGGTGCCCGCGACCACTGTTCCGGGCTTCACAAGAGATTGCTGCTCAGCAAGTACCGCGCGGAAGATATTCGTAGAATGCGCGGCGAAGGAAAGACAGGCTTGGCCATCGGCACACGGAGCTCAGACTTTGCTCATACTTTGGGGCAGACTGCAAGGTTACAAGTACCTGTCGCCGGGGCTCGAGTCACCTGACGTATGAAAGTTTGATGTGGAGTAGCGTTGTAGTGATTCCGAAGATTAAAGCAAGATCGCTTCAAGCTCAGCTCGGCACAGATTAGAGGCTCAGCACTCACCATGGCTGCTGTGCCTGTGGTGCTCTGCGACATCACGAACCAGGCATCTGCACCTGACGGCCGCGGGCTGAGCCTCAGAATTAATCTTTACACTGGCTGTACAATCCCTCCACCTTTTGTATCGATGGTTGCTTTGGTGAGACAAAATCTGCTGGAAAAGCAATGCGATGATAAGGTTGTGACCTTCTCTACACGCCAGAGACGCTGCGAACTCCAACCAGAAAGCCTTTCAGTTTGTATTTCACAGAGGATGACAGCGAGATGTATGAGCAGAACCACAGAGTGCCGCAAAGTGGGCGACCATCAACCTCCGGTTGCAGGGCGTTGTCGGAGGGGTCTTGTCTTCGAAGGAGCTCCGTTGGAAAGTCGCAAGCTCGGCGCACTTCTATCTTGGAGCTCGGACCGGAGGAGAGAATGCGAGCTCTGGGTGTGCCTGAAAGACTTGGACATCTGCCTCGACAGAGAAAGCAAAGTCTTGGGCCACCTCAGAGGAAGCAGCCCGGTGCAGCCCGACCCCAGACACCCCGGGAGCCTCTCAATCGAGCTGCGCCGTGTCCAGCACACGATAGGTTGAGAGCTTCGAGGAACGTGCCAAGCCCGTTTCCTGTGACCCCCAGGCGGACAAAGCCTGGTGCCAGGGCAAGAACAGTAGGTCCTTGCACACCGCGCTCACCACACGTCGCTATTTCCTCAAGGCCTGAGAGGGCGCTGAGGTCCGAGGCGCAGCGAAGGAAGGCGCCTGCTCTAGTCGCCGCTCGGTGGCGCTACTGAGCCTGTGCCCAATCTCAGGCGCTGCACGCTGCAGGCCTGGCGCGCTGGATGACAGCGCCGCATGTAGTCATAGCCATTAATTGAATGCACGGTTTGCGCGAAATTCAGTGACACCAGTTGTGGTAAAGCTTTGGCCAATACATTCGCACACATGTTTTGATCAGGAGGTTGCTAACGTCCAATGACCGAAAGCAGTGCCACAGCGTTGGCGGCCAGGGGCCACTTCGCATGGACACCTTTGTACAGACAGATTGCTGATGAGCGTGGTGCCCGAAGTCCGAAGCAGAAAAGCGAACGATTGATGTGCTTAGGCTTGAGACTATGTCTTCACGGAAAGATGGAAAGCCACTCGCAGCTCTTTCTCTGCCTGCTGGAGGTCCGAGACACCATGCTGCCAAGCGGATTCCCTCGAGCAGGTGCTGCCCATCGGGTGCCTTGGAGGTGCGGAACGGCCTGTGGCGGCCCGTCATGCCCAGGTGCCTGCATCTCCAGCTGCTTGTGCGGGCTGTCAGAGCTTCCGAGGCTTTGTCGGGAAGCGGTCTTGGTTTAGGTTGGAGTCGATGTCGATGCCCATTCATACTGGAACTCGAGTTTCAATTTTTTCCGTGGGCCTGGCCTTCATCCAGGTAGTTGAGGGTTGGGAGGTGTAGTATGACAGTGATCATGAAGCACACGTTTGAAGAGCAGCCGGAACTGGAGTGTACGTGACTGTCAATCCGTGCCCGAGCTCTGTCGAAAACTACATGATAGCCGCGAGTTTGCCAATCCGTGAGGCCTGTCCTCAAACCGAATCAACCTTCTGATCGAGCCAGTGCAGCTAGAGTCTTTATGCCGCAGAAGTCCTACCAGCCGGTGAGTGGCCGACTGCGAGCCGAGCGAAGCAGCAAACCGTTTGTAACAGAAGAGCCGAGACTCCGCACAGGGTACTGCAGTACCCCGGGTACACGGGAAGTCTGAGGAGCATGCGCTTCGTGCTTGTTTTTGCTGATGTTGCGCCTCTTCGCGTGTTCGTCGAACAACTGCAAATTCCCGTTTGATCGCGAAACTCCGTGAGCGTAGGCCCTGCAGCGAGTTGCATGAGCATTTTCCGATATGGAGCCGTCACAAGTCGTGTGCAGAGACATTCGTGTAAGAAAGCCGAGTGGAACGCTAATGTTCCGAGATGCATGACTACCGACAGATCAGGAATAACGCCCAATGTAGGCAAGCGCGGTAGCAACCCAGCAGGTGGCAAAAGGCGCTGATTGCCGGTGGTGGCCTTGCGGTCGCCGGTGCTGGCCTGTACATTGCACAAGCAGCAGGCGATGTCTACCAGGTGGGATCAGGTTTACCTTAAGATTGCGAGTTCAGAGCTGGCGCCGGCGCAGGTGGAAGATGTCGATCGCTTCTACCAAGTCGTGGATCCCGACATGGGAATCAATCTGCGCGCTGAGCCAGACACCTTTGCAGCAGGCACTGCATACGTCCTCATACCCGGCGAGGCATTTCACGTGTCTCGCGTTATCCGACATGGGGGCCAGGAGTACCTTTCCCTTAGCGACGGGCGTGGTTGGGCCTTTACACGGAGCAAAGCTGGTGCAATAATTTGTGAGAGATGTACCGAAGAGGAGGTGCCTGGATTGCCTATTGGCCGAGTGGGCGATCTCCTGCATGCCAACTTGGTGACTCGTTTTTGAGTTTTCTGGGGATCCTTCCGAGAAAGCCAAGGTCCAGCAAGCTGGAGGCACAGCCTTGGATCAGGTGGAGGCAATGCTCAGGAGCAACCTTGCGCTCTGCAAGCAGCTCGAGGCTTCCGAGACAGAGGCCGGGGGGCGGCCGGGAGGTATGTCGGTTCTGAAGTTTGTGCGGTGTGAACACCTTTCGTCCCAGGATTCCCTCAGGCAGATGGCCAAGAGGGTGCTGCTTGCAAAAGAAGAGATGCCAAGCTGACGGACCACAAGAATATCTCAGGCGTTGGAAGGAAGACGTCATGGACAAGCTCAGCGTAGTTGGGTGGTGGACGTGAAGTGATTCTGTCGGCAGCTCTGAGCCCTGAGAGCTGTGACGATTGCATAGCGGAGACATGCTTCACTTCTCTACAACTCGGCTTCCCGGATCGGGCGGTGGACTCGGCGCAACAACCCAGTGTAAGTGCAAATGCGCGGGGGGGGGGGGGGGGGGGGTTTGCCAATGGCAAGTGCGGTGAATCCGCGAAGTGTCGGCTCCAGCAACCACTAACATCTGGTCAGATGACTCTATGTGAGCCGGCGCTGCACCCAAGGCTCCTTCTGTGCTTTCACAATCTGTCGCAGTGAGCAGGTTCTTCTTTGCCTGATTTCGGCAGTTCCAGGGCGATTAAGCCAAGTGTGCTCGCGCATGCTCGCGTGTTGCGGCTCAAGCTCCGTTCCTGCAGTTCGGTGGAGCGGCGATCGCTCTGGCTTGCTTTGGCTTATGGATTGGGACTATTTGGCCGGCTTTGTGCTTCTTTGCCTGCTGCTGTCTGCTGTCTTTGCAGCACTTGGGCAGTTTGGAAGAAACAGTGGTGCCATCAAGCATTGAGCATGGCATCGATTATCCTAAGGAGGTTGTTTCCAGCACGGTCTCGTCAGCTTGTCTCGCTTCACCTGGCTGGGCAGCAGCGACATGTGGTTGCAAGAGCTGCGCAACATGCAGGGGCGCAGGGGCCCATCAAGGAGTTGCAAAGCGATGTTGCCAGAAGGTTCACGAAGGCGGCGCAGGGAACGCCGCCGAACATCAGCAGCGGCCAGCTTGTTCAACTCCTCTTCGAAGTCGGAGTCGCTGATGTCAAGACAAACACAGTTGGCGAAGTAGTAAACTTCCTCATGGAGCATGGCTTTTATCGTCAAACCCATCCTCAGAAGCGGGACTCCTATGGCCCAGCACCGCCACCCAAGCTTGGGCTGCTGGAAGCCCAGCGCTGGGCCACCCTCTTCTTCCTCAGGCGCATACAGCAGAAGCCGGAGCCCCTAGCTCTTGGGAAGGCCATGGCAGAAACGCGGGGCCCAATCCCCCCCAAACCGATCTGCGGGAGCGCCTGGTGTTCATGTCCACCCGGGGCAGCTGGAACGGACCTGTGCGCCTTGAGCAAGAGGAACTGAGGAACTGAGCCGCACTGCCACGGGCTTTCAGTGTCGCCGGTCATCCCACCGGACACCTGCTCCTGCTCTCACCCCAAAAGAGAGAAAGCTTCACTCCAGAAAAAAGGACTGGTGGCTGTCAGCCTTGGGATCGACAAAGTGATGGCTTGCACCACAAACACTTTCGAGCTGCTGTCGCCCTTCTCTGCGAGGCTCTGGGTCAAGCTTCGCAGTGCGAAGCTGGAGAAGGCGCACCACAGCATTTTGTTGTGCTGTTCTCTGCTGAAGTGGCAGGTACAAGCTCTTGCTGCAGCTTCGCTTGGTATGACCACACGGCGTGAGCGTTTAAAATGGAGTTGTGTGGTGCACTGAAGTCAACATGCCACTGATCGCTCGTGTTCGGCTTTCTCCTCTGACCGGGCTTTACGCACAACTCATTCGCTTGCAGCCGGTGATGCATGGCCTGCTTGACTAGCGGCATGAATTCATAGCAGCACCCCACCTGCTGCGGACCCTTGCATGTTCCCCGGTTCGAAGTGCTGTCAACGCTGCACGCGGCTGAGTCTGCCGGAGAGGTATGCGCTATGCCTGTGCGTGAGTCGAGAACCCAGGTCGGTGGCGGTGTTGCCGAAGCTGTCGCGCAGCTCTGGGGCGTGCGGGTTTGTCGAGTCAGCGACATCACTATCCAAATCGTCCGCGCGTTGTGCAGCAAAAGTGGCTTGATTTAACCTGGCATGCATGATGCCAGCAGCCTGCCCAAGTTTGTGCCGTGCGCCTTTCGAGGTACGAGTTCTTACTCTCCAAGTTTGCCGAAGACCACCGTTGGCCTGAAGCTTTGGCAATGCTCCAGACCATGCGAGATCGGATGCTGGATCCAAGTGCACCTTCGCCAGCAACCCGAAGACTAGAGCAGCCTCTCACGGTCTTCGCAAGTTGATCTTTTGAAGCATTCCCTAAACCCTAAACCCTACGCCCAGCGGACCTAACGCTTCTCGGACCCTAAACCCTAAACCATCGATGCTGATCTCAAGGAGCCCAGCCGGGCACTGGTCGTGAAAGCGCTGTCACTGGCGGGTCGTTGGATCCGTGCGCCCTTTGCCCAAAAGAGCAGCGAAGCAAGGCCTAGTCCAAGGCGTAGCAAGGCCAGGTCCGGTGGGGTTAACATGAAATTATAGTATAGTACAGTAGTATATAGTATATGGTATTTGGTATATAGTATATAGTATACAGTATATGGTATATAGTATATAGTAGACTATAGTCGTATATTAGTGTATAGTGTATCAAGTCGGCTGAGCGAGGTTTGATATGCTCTCCAAGTTACAGAAATGGTGGGCCTCTCAGTTTGGCTGACACTCTGACGGCAGCCCGAAAGCAGCTGCAGTGATGGTAGTGGTTGTGGTGGCGGCGGCAGTTCAGGACCCAGTCCATGCCGAACCATTTGATTAGGCAGTGGTGGCGGTGGTCGTCGTCGTCGGAGTACTGCTTGACATGTTGAGTGTTGCGGCAAGATCAGTCAGCAGATGCTACCGAAGCGCAACGGCCACTGCCAGCCTGTCAGCCGCTTGCCGGCTTCAGCAACCCAGAGACGCAGCTTTGACTGGTGAATGCTGAGCGAGAGCATTCGCCGGGGAGGCATTGGCTCCAAAAAGATGCCTGCTTCAAGTTTGGGCAATCTTTATGGGCACAGCTTGGGAGCGTGCGTGGGGTTTCCACCCAGGGAAAATCACTGCATGTGCAGCAGTTTCTGCACTTGCACATGATCGTTATTATTCTGTCTATGTCTTCCACTATCAGTATTGCCGTTATCATCCTGTCACTGTCTTCTCGTCTCGTCACCCTCACGTACGTTCATCAAGATTGGAATGAGTCTGCTTAATCATTCCCGCCGTCTTCTGGAACGGCAAGATGCGGCATGACACGACCCCTTTGTTTTGCTTTGTTCGAGTAGTAGTAGTAGTAGTAGTAGTAGTAGTAGTAGTAGTAGTAGTAGTAGTAGTAGTAGTAGTAGTAGTAGTTGTTGTTGTTGTTGTTGTTGTTGTTGTTGTTGTTAGTATTAGGTTAGTAGTTGGTAGTTGGTAGTTAGTAGTTAGTATGTAGTAGTTAGTATGTAGTAGTTAGTAGGTAGTAGTTAGTAGTTAGTAGTTAGTAGTTAGTAGCTAGTAGCTAGTAGTTAGTAGTTAGTAGTTAGTAGTTAGTAGTTAGAAGTAGTTAGTAGTAGCAGTAGTAGCCGTAGTAGCAGTGGTAGTAGTGGTGGTGGTGGTGGTGGTGGTGCTAGTAGTAGTAGTAGTAGTAGTAGTAGTAGTAGTAGTAGTAGTAGTAGTAGTAGTAGTAGTAGTAGTAGTAGTAGTAGTAGTAGTAGTAGTAGTAGCAGTAGTAGCCGTAGTAGCAGTGGTAGTAGTAGTGGTGGTGGTGGTGGTGGTGGTGCTAGTAGTAGTAGTAGTAGTAGTAGTAGTAGTAGTAGTAGTAGTAGTAGTAGTAGTAGGAGTAGTAGTCGTAGTAGTAGTAGTAGTAGTAGTAGTAGTAGTAGTAGTAGTGGTAGTAGTAGTAGTAGTAGTAGTAGTAGTAGTAGTACAAGCAGCAGGAGCAGTAGTTGTTGTTGCTGTTGCCGTTGCGGTTGCGGTTGCGGCTGCGGTTGCTGTTGCTGTTGCTGCTGCTGCTGCTGCTGTTGTTGTTGTTGTTGTTGTGGGCCTCGTTGTCGTTATCGTATTGGTTGTCGTTGTTGTTCCGGCTGCGGCTGCTGCTGCTGCTGCTGCTGGTGTTGGTGTTGGTGTCGTCCGGTGTGGTGGCAGTGGCAGCGGTGGTCGTCGTCGTCCGGGTCCTAGGAGCTGATTCGAGGCATAGCAAGAGTGTGTACCGATGCTACCGGGGCTGCCTGCTGCTGCCATCATTCGAAGTGAATGCACTGGCAGGGGCACTTAGTCAAGCATTCACTACTGGTCATTACTTTCCTTGGCAAGTTCAGGTGTGCTGCTCGGAAGCAAGTACCCAGCAGATTAGCGCTGAGCAGCGGTGTCTTCGCTTGTGACCTGGCGAACGTTTGTAGTTGAGTCAACTTTGAACAGTACACTGGCGTTGGGCTGAGTTTTTTCCAGTTCAGCATTCCACAGTTGCTCCGAGTTCTAGGGAGGTCGTCAAGCTAAAGCTGCAAGACTCGGGTTCTGACTTGACTACCTGGTGGCAGGAGTGGGCGGAAGAATAGGAACAGGTTTCTTTCGTCTGAAATTCGTGCTGTCGGGGCTGTGCCTTGCAAGTGTGCCAGGCAGGAAGGGTGCACAATGGCGTGTAGCCTTGGCCCTTCTTGATGAAGCGGAACAGCTCGTGCCTGAGGTGAGGAGTCTTCCAGCCTTGCACTGATGAGACAGGTTGAAGATGGAGTCATCTGTGTGGAGCATTGTCGATTCAACCGCAGCTTCCTCTCAAGCCACGTCAGGGTGGCGTCCAGGGGCCACGACAAGCCCCCGAGGAGGCTGGCTCATGGCTGATGCCTTGGCCAGCCTAGGCCAAGGTTCTTCGAATGCGAATGTGGCAAAAATTGCCATAGAGCAACGGCCGCTCAGCATCACTTCATACCTGTCGCTCTCCCGTCGAGACCAGGATGTCTATGCAAGATGTGGTGAATCGTGGCCGACATGCCAAGGAAGAAGAAGGCCGAGGTTGTGGAGCCGCAGGTAATCAGCGAAGAGCTCCTCATCGAAGGTGTCGAGGAGCCTGTCCGAACAGATGGCAAAGCGTGGCCAACCAACGAGTTTCCGCAAGTGACCTCACTTCGCCTGTCCTTCAAGAACATTATCGAGGCAGGGAGGGAACAGAGTTCAGTTTTCATGTGCCATCCCGGGCTGCTTCTCACCAAGATTTCTAACCTCAACAACTTTGACACCCTTCTGACGCTTCGGCTTGACAACAACATCATCGACAAGCCACCTGCCGGGTAAAGAGCATGACTGGCTTGAGTTTGTGCCGCCCAATGCATGTCTCTCATGAAAGCAGCATGAAACGAGCTCGCTCGGCAAGGGTTTCCAACCTGGGTCACTTGAGACAGCTTACCTGGCTGGACCTTTCCTTCAACAACATCCGTTGCTTTGTTGCACCATCAGCGGTGTCAGAAGCCAGCACCGCCACACAGTGGTCCGCACTGCAGGTGAAATCGAAGGACTGGACGACTTGCACGAGCTGCTGGACTTGTCCCTGTACCACAACCAAATTGAGGAGATCAAAGGCCACCTTCTGTCATGACATGGGGCCTTCTTCGTGACGTAGTGTCCATTTCCTGGTGCTGTTGCAGTTTCTTGCTGCTGTTGTCTCTTGTTATGTTGTTCTCCTTTGCTATGGTTTCCTTGAACTTGATAGTATCAGTGTGACGAACCAGGCGATAAAAATGTCGTGGCCTTTTATCATGCTCTGCCAGACCGACTGGACGGTTGCCCGAAGCTGAACATCTTGTCCCTGGGCCACAACAACATGAAGGACTTGATGCCTGGCCTGCAAGAAGCAGCTTCTTTAGCAGCTTCTTTAGCCAAAGCCCTGCGCGAACGCTGTCGGGGATCTGACTCGGCATACGGACGAATTCCGAGGAAGCAGATCGACTACCTGCGCCAGTTTGCCAATTTGAGATGTCTGTGCATGGAGGGTAACAAGGTGTGCAACCATGACTCTTACAATCAACATGTGCCACGGGGACTGAAATTAAGCAGTTGCCACCCATATCCCGACTTAATCAGCTGTAAGCTGCATCTAGAACCTAGCAGTGAGGCTCGCATATCTGCCGCATCTCAAGTATTTGGACTACATGCTCATCGACCGCAAGGCACAGTTGTAGCTGGGGCAGTACCGAAAAGGTTTCAGAAGAGAGACTGGTCTGCCGTTCTGGAAATAAAGGCTGTTGCAGCTAGGGCAAGTTACTGTTGCTACCGTCCTTCACTGCTTTCCGTGCCGACGCCACTCAGAACCCCGGAGGCCGTGGCCCAGGCACAGGAAGGATACAACTTGGAAGAGCTTACCGAGGCCTGGGAGTGCGGAATGTACTGTAAACGAAAGTCGCACCAGATGCTGGATTAAAGGTCTACTTCGATCCGAGCGCTTTGGGTATTTGCGTTATTTCCGGCGGGGAGGGTGTTCTTGAAACGGGGCTGCCATCTGACATGTTGCCGCAACAGTTGTCCTGGCTGTGACGGAACGTACTGGAAGCGGCACCATTTAGGATTGATACTCTGAGCCAGTACATGCCGCAGATTCGCCGTGTAGGATAACATGTGAGATCCGCGACAGAATTGGGAGTGTGGCTAAGAAAGCTGTGATGCTGAAAGCTTTGCCGATGTGCTACGCGCAGACCTTCTGCCGCAAGTCCTTGCAACATCCTGTGTTTCATGCAGCCGTTGGAACAGATGGTCTCGCCAGGTCCGCGAGAAGGAGCAGGCAGAGCATATGCAGCAGAAGGCCAAGGCAGTAGCTTGGCTTAAGATGATCAGCAGCCGGTGGTTCTCAGCGCTACGACTTGCTTGAGACCCCGGCGGTGTGGTGACTCGAAAGCCATGCTCGCGGTCCATTTGTTGATATTCAGGAAAAGTCGGCCACAATTGAGAAGCTGAAGAATCTTGGCTGATCAGTCAGGTGGGCAAAAATAATTTCTCCGTGTTCAATTTGTCCCTGGCTTCAGGACGGCATTCCTCGATTGCACGGAAGATTTATTCGAGGAGATGTTCTCCAGGGAGGTGGAGCCTGAGAACGTCTTGGTCTTGCAATGCTATCAAGGTCTCAAGGAGGACTTTGCTCACTGTGGAGGGGTGACTGTGGTTAGCGACAGCGAGTCTGTTGCGAGTTCTAGAACTAGAAATCTTCATCGTAGTTGTTATTTTAAGGCAGAGCAATTTTCACTGGCAATGTACTGTCTGGGCCGAGTGTCGGTACGGCATGCAAAATTTCATGCTCTCTTGGTGTGCTGCACCGTGCACGGCTTGATAGTCGGCAGGACTATCGAGATAAGCTTTCTGAAGAAATCAAGGGTCTTCGAGCTCGAATGGAGGATGAGCAGAGCCAGCAGCCGGTATGTCCTGTTGCCGCAGCAACGTCGCAGAACGCTGAGAATGCTCGGCTGCAGGAGAAGAACGAAGTTCGGCTCAGGAAGGTTTCAGCCTTCGAAAAGGCTGCAGAACTCTCACGCATTCAAGTGCCTTCTGGAGCACGTGGAAGTTTTCAGGCGATCTACGTTTCGGAGAAAGAAAGTGAAGACGAAGCCTTCCTACAGATCCGAGACTTCAAGAGTGTCAAGAAAAAGGTCCTGCTGCAGCCCAAGCTGTAATCCTTGACGGGAGGTCTTTCGCTTGGCCATGCTGAGACCTGCTGAGGTCCCAAGTGGACAAGGAAGATGGGGCTAGGGCAGAGGTTGATGACCTGCTGAAGCACTTGCTTGACGAACTTGGCGACTTGGAGAACCAGCTCATGGCGAACGAGATTGCGCTCCAAGAGAGCTGCTTGTCAGCAAGAAGGACAGAAGGAGATGCATCGTTTTGGGGGGGGCCGGCATGGGCTCAGCCGAGGTATCGAAGAGGCCTTGTCCGATTTCGAAGCCAAAACCATGGATCTTGTGAAGAGCATGCTGGACAACAGCCGGGAGTTCTTTACGCGGCTGGAAGATTTGGAGAAGAGCTTCCTCACGGGACTCACCGAAGGCCACGACTTTGAGCGGTTTCTCGATTTGTTTGTGCAGGGGCAGGGGGGAGGGGGGTTCTTTCTGCACTCCTGGATGCCTGGACAGGTGCCAACAGTGAGATCGAAGCCTTCACTCAGACACAAGAGTCGGCGATGGCAGATACCGACCCACAGAAAGCCAAGTATCTCAACAATCGCGAGGAGATGAACCAAGCTCTTACAAACTTCACCGATGCCCACAACAGCTTGATCACAAACAAGGATGACTATATGACCAACCAGAGCCTCTGCATGCGATTGAAGGGTCTCAAGAAATCATTGTCCGAGCGCGGGTGCATCCAACACCACGTCCGCCCTTTCATTCTCAAAACCATGCAAGGATGAATTCTTGGAACCGAGCGTACTTCGAGAACCACCGGGCCCGACAGTACAACCGGAATCGCCAGCGAGCGCCGGACTCAGAGTCTCAGAATTGCAGTGCAAAGTGATCTGGAGCTGCTAGTAACCGCTAGCAGTCGTAGTTTTATGTACTTTTGTAGTACATAATCCGCAAGAGTCACTTCAAATTCCTTAACCAAATGGCTCGGCTCCAGCTAGAGTTAGGCAGTTGGCTCCGGGGCCCAGCATCCATTTCAAGCGTGTTGTCATTGGTGTTCCTCCGGGCAATGCTCTTGCATCTGTTCCCATTGCATCTTCAGCTTTAGCTTTGAGGTCGAAGGTTTAGGGAGTCTTTAAGCTTTTGTCTTACAACTCCACCTTGGCCATGGGTTCGGTGGAGGAGGACTCAGACGAGCGGCCCCTACTTCTGTGCATGTTCTGGATCGCAACCGGCTTCTCCTACGGCCCCTTGCTGTGTTTCCCGCTATACCAAGCTTTGGTGGCCTCGAAGGGGCAATCAGAGGTAGACCCAACGACTGGGGGCCTGGTACTCATGGGGGCGAAGTGCTTCACTGTCTTGAGCCACAATGTTCTGAGCAACTGCAGGACAGAGCTTTGGGGTCTGAAGCTGCAGGTGCTGAGTTGCGTGGTGCTGTCCATGACCTGTCTGACGCTGGCAAGCCTGGACAGCGTGTCTGGCATCGGCATGTTGGCGGCTGTTGGGACCTTGCACCTCACCCACAGTGCAGTGGTCGTGGGGCCTCTTGTGACGGTGCCCTCGGAAGGGAAGAGCAAGTTCCGCAGCCTCTTCTACTATGTCACCGCCCCACTTGGCTGCGTGTGGACAAGCCTGGTCAGCTTCTGCTTGGCACAGCCGCAGTTCCAAAGTTCCTGGATACTCCGAGCCATCGCCTTGAACTCGCCGCTCCTAGTGACACTCTTCGCTTGGGTGCTGGTGCCGCGAAAGAGCTTCTGGAGTGCAGCGCGGATGAGGGAGGCCCAGAAGGAGCTCGGAGGTGCGGAGGCTCAGGAGGAGTGCCCTGGCACGTTGCATCCTGCGAGCGCCGGCAGCCCTCGGGCTGCCCGGGCTCGCAAGAGCGACGAATCCACTGCTTGTGGCGAAGACGCACAGACCGAGCCGCAGCGCTCCCCGCGAGCTGGTGCGAAAGTAGCGTTTTCGGTGTTGATGCCCGAGGTGGGTGCAGAGTCGCCCGGTGAAAGCAATGGCGAAGGGCAAGCGGCTAAGATGGGCAAGTTGGAGCCGAGCATGACAGCGCAGTTCGGCAGGAGCAGGACAGGGAACCTAAGGCGAGGACGCACGGGCAAGAAGAGCGGCCTGCGATACACAGGTCGGAGAACAACCATGGCGCGTATGCGGGGGACTTTCGCAGATCGGACGACCCTAGTGAACCACATGACAAACTTCACCCCGCTGACACCGATTCTTGCACGAGAGTTGACGCACATCGGCGCCTTGGATGACATCTTGAGGCACTCCCGTGCGACCCGACGCTCGCAGCAGATACAGGCATCCGGGAGCCCCTGGGCGGACGGCTGCTTCCGTGTACTGGCCTTCAGCCAGTGCCTGAACATCTACGGATTCTGCTTCTACGGCTTCAACGTGTTCCCGATGCTTATCGCGGAGACCGGGCCAAGTTTGGATGCGATCAGCATGCTCTACACTGTGGAGGGGTTCGTGCAGGCGGTCTTGACGGTAGTCCTGATGCCCTGCCTTGACACGAAGATGTTCTGGAAGTTCTTTGTTGCGACCTGGGTCATTCTGGTGAGCTCGCCGCTGGCGATCTGTTTCTTCGGGAAACTCCACTGGATTTTCTATCTGCTCTTGCTGCTTGTGGTGGACGTGGCTCTTTGCTGCGCCACGGGGCTGCTGAGTGTCCTGCTTCTGCGCACTTTGCCTTGGGAGTATATCACCACCTTCCACACACAGGTCTCCACCCTTTCTGGGCTGGTCGCCGGAGCTTCCTTTGTTCAGATGCCGTTGCGTTCCGCAGTCGGCACCTGGGAAGCCACCTCTTTGATCGGTCACGGCACCGCCGCGTTCCTTCTTCTGGTTGTCTATGCCACGCACCTCCCGTCGATGCGCAAGTTTTGGGAGCTGCTTGCCGATCCGGTCGAAAGGAACGCTGATGGCGAGCTAGAGGAAGAGGAAGACATTGACTTGCCAGAGATCGACGAGATTGATGAGGGCGATGCAACAAGCAAGGATCCACCGAACCTCGCCCGAGTCACGGAGCAACCCGATAGAAAGAAAACCGAGCTGCCCGGCATGCTGAGTTAGCGGCAAACACCAGCCATGCGAAGCCCCCTGCATTGAAAGATGCGACGACGGAATTCAGTGAAGCTTGGCTTGCCGTCCAAGACGCGCAGCGCACTTCGTGTTGAAGGTTTGGCCCATAGCGGCTGTGAGCCCTTCCAGCTTGGAATTCATCCTCGGCGTGTTTTCTCCGTATGTCGAGACGATATTTTTGCGCCTTTAAGGGAGGGCGCCGGCAAATTCATCTCAGAGAGACCTTTCTTTGGCTGTTTCAGGGAGAGACAGCTCTATCTCCTTGGTTTCTTAATCACTCTGCACCCGCTTTCGCAACACTATTGATAAGTCCCACAATCACAGTCGTGGCGCTCCATCGAGCTTCTTGAAGAAAGCCGGGCAGCAGGATATGCAGGCTCTCCAACTCTTTAAGCTGTACGGGGCTTGTGCTCCTGGAGGCCCGGAACAGGCCCGGCCCCTTCTCGGGTTGGGTATGGACCTCTGCTTGCGTGAGGAAAGAGTGGAAGTTTGCTCAGTTGCTGAAGTGAGATGGTCTGGGTCTCATGATGTTGTTGTCTTGTCTGCTTCGTGATGAGTCTTTACTGGAAATGCGTACATAGCCTCTTCCTGCATTCCATCGTGTGCGCTGCAGTCGTCAGGGGTCTAGTTCTTGTCGCGTTGCGAGATCGTAAACCAAATGCAGGAGGCAAAACAACCAAGCGCAGTGACCCGCCGTGCTTGCCGTCGCTTGCGATGCTGGAGCCACATAAAACCAAGGTCACAGACATCCGCAAGGTGATCGATGAGTGCAAATCCGAGATTCAGGCTGCGAGTGAGGACGGCAACGAGGAAGAAGGCGATGCGTTGGGTGCCTTCGAAGAAGATTGCAGACTCAGATATCCCAAAGCACCCGAAGCAAAACCGGAGGCAACTCCGAAAAAACGAGGCCCTCAGAAAAAAGCAGTCCCTCTCGCGAAGCCTTAAAAGGGCCCAGTACCCCAAGTCAAATCTCCAGAACCTGGAGTCCGAATCCCGAGGTGTGGACGCCTACGGCCGCTGACCAGTGGAGATCTGCCTTGGCGGTTTCACTTCTGCTGGACTGCAAAGACTTTTTCTCAAGCTGCAAAAGTGCAGAAAGTCTTTGCTTTGCTCCTCTGTTTCCTCCTCCTGTTTTTGCCCCAAGCTGCAGCTCTGCACACTTGGACTTGAAACTCATAGCTCCAACTCTCCCACGTCTTCACCATCTTCATTCCTCTCGGTCTCATGCGACCTGCCCTCCTGCCTTAAAAATTTGAATCTGCCCATCTAGCACTTCGTGTGGCTCTCCTGGTTCCCAGGTTGGAGCAGGGCCTTGGGCCACAAGGTCTGGAAGCAGCATTGAGGTGCTGTGCCAAGGCCAACGTGTGGCAAAGGCCCTTCGATGTCTCGACAGCTGTCGGCCTTCGAGCGAAATTTTTCCCGCTATAGCCAGGGCTTTGGCAGCATCCCACGTGGCCGATGCTAAAGGCCGGTCCGTTTTCTGCTTCAAGTCTTTCTTTCAAGGGTTCTTGTTCGGGAGAGGCCGGAGCTCTGCAGCCGATGCCTGCGCTCGAGCAGGCAATATCCCGGCGGGTCCGAAAGGATGGGAGGCTAGGAGACTGCACAACGCAGGTCGTGCTGAGATGGCTACCCCGCTTCTGCAAAGCTTGGGTTCTCGGTGGGCGCAAAAGCCGCCGGCGTGCCTTGCATGTATCTGGGCCTCATGGGCAGTGTAACTTGACAGGCAGATCAAGAGATGCTGCTAGGCAGGACGACGTACTATGCATTGCGATGCAGCTCTTTTTCTGCCCGAGGTTGGGGGACTCTGCACGTGCAGCAGGCTCCTCTGCTGGCGTCTTGTTGACCCGTAGGGCTTGGCGCAGGCGGCGAAACCCCGCAAACACGACAAGAGCTGGGGTTGTTCTTTAGTCGTGTACGTCTGTACGACTGCGCATTCGCATGTTCCTTAGCGGTACGATTGGGAGGTCTCTTCTATGGATTCGTGAAGGTGCCGCCGTCAGCCGTGGATGTTCGACTGACTCGGTTTGTGCTGCGGCCTGAGGGTTTGGGTTGTAAGACGTTATGCATAGCCCAAATGTACAAAGAAGTCGAATAACAAGGCTGGGGCACAGTATGAGTTGCGTGCAGGTTGGAGCCATTGCGCCCGCTCCTGACACAAGCCTGGCAGCGACGCAGCCCAGAGGGAAGCCACTTGGATGCTACCCTTTTTATGCAGTCGGCATAAAAAGCAGTGGCATAAAAACGCCAGGCGACCTCGCAGATGTGATTCTGTTTGGCCCCTGCTTGGCAAGAATATGGATCAATGGAACGGAGCTTGCCTTAATGTGCAGGTATGCAAGCAATACTAAGTGCAGGTGAGGGAACTGCGATATGGAATGCTTGAGGTATGGGCAGCGCGGAGTTATGGAGCTCCCAGCAAAGTGGGCCAAAAAGTTCAATCCCCCAAGCCGAGAGCGAGCACCCGGCACACCCTATTTTACATGCAGCTGCTGTAGCGACCAGCCACACGGTTCAGAACCTTCGTGATCAAGAGGAATATTCTTTGGCCCATATGCGTGGCCTTAGCCACGCTGACACATCAGTCTGACACACCAGTCGTCGCAGTCTAGACATGTCTAGACGTAGCGGAGTTGGGTAGTGCCATGCGCTTTGAGTGCCATGGTGTTCGAAAGACCTTCCCGAGCACCAGCCGGGTCTTCAGCCGCCTGGTCACCATGTGATTCTGTAAGACCACGTCATGTGACAGAGCAGCACAGGCTTAGTGCATAGATGCATCCGAGGCCAGCTGAAACCAGCCTAGCAGAGAAAGCAGCAAAAGGTAATGATGGTGATGCTGACGAAAAGGAAGATGGTGCTATGATGGTCATCACCTCTACATGGTAGTGATCATCAAGGTCAGGCTCATAAGTGCTAACAGCGCACAGCTCAACAAGAAGGCCATTGGCTTTTGGCTTTGGCAGGACAAAGGCTGCATCAGCCAAAACAATTGGCCAGCTTCGTGCCTTGCGTGCCCGAGTCGAGGGGCATCACCTAGGCCATTCCCTGCATTCCCGAGGAAATACGGCCAGCCGTGTCACAAGCCCGCTGGAAGTCCATGCGAAAAAAAGTCTCGCATAAGTTACACATTGTTTACCATGGTTCATGTCCCCTAACATACCGCAACATACTGTAATATACTTGAGCATACTACGATGTACTATGCAGTATACTACAGTCGTAATATCTCGCAGAGAGCCTCTGGGAAGCCCTTTTTTGAAGCCCATGCGCTGAGGCGCCTCGAGCGCCGAAGCTCAAGCGCCGATGGCTCCAAGTCCCCGTGGCGCCTGCGAGTCTCGAAGCCGGGGCCCCAAAACGGAGCAAAACCGTACGTACAAGTTTGGGGCAAAAGGCGGTACGTTTAGGATCCCTGGTTAAGGATTTAGATGTGTAGATGGGGTCCAGGTGCAGGTCGTGGAGGTTTCTCTTCGAAGCTCGACCCCAAGCCCCGATAACTGAGGCCACGCTCGCCAATGTGGCACACTTGGAGCCACCTGACTGCAAACGCCAAGCGGATCTTGAGCCGTGAGAGCCAGCATGCGCAGGCTGGACATGATCTTGCCAGCCGACCGCGAAGTCGAGTTGCTCCCGAGGCCAGTGATCTCTCGAAGTGACCCGGTATGATCTGCTGGCAAACCGCAGGCCCTACACCAGCGGCTCTGTGTCTATCTCAGCCGAAGCGATGTTTAGTGCGGAGAACTCCACATTCAGCACCCGACCCTCGACAAGTGCATGCTCTGGAGGGAGCTCTCGAAGCTTTCGTCCGAGGGCTTGGTGGAAGTCCGGTCACCGACGCAAAGGCTGGAAAGGCACCACAAGCCTTGCAGATTCCAGCATGTCGACATCGGGAAGCTTCAGGTGCCCGCAAACACCACAGAGAGACTTGCGGGGATACGAGACATTCGAGCAGCTGCTCCAGCCGGGATGGCGAACAGCCGCCGAGCTCTGTGCGAGATCAAAAGAGGAGGAGGACGCGGATGAGGACTCAGGAGACGATGCTGGCCCAGGTGCACCAAGTCGACGCGCCTCAGCGAAGAGGGACGCTGTGGTCCTTGGAGTCGGAAAGCCATTTTGGAAACTTAAGCAGATGGAGCAGGACACAGCCGCAAAGGCGGAAAAGCCACTTTATCAGCAAAAGCGGAATGCCCTCAAGCAGGTGACTTCCAGCAACCTTTTTGCAATGCAGGGGCAGCTGGACTCCCAAGCACAGGAGAGCTCCTCCTCGGCATCATCTACCGATGCAACGTCTGTATCTTCGGACAGCGTGGATCCGCTGCTGGCGACTGAAATAGGTCGGGCGGAACTCATCATGTAAACCAGCATGAACAGAATCTGACACGTCTTGAAACCGCTGCACGAAGCTCCCCGTCCTGCTCGACAGTCAGCGAAGCTCTGTCCTTGAAGGCGACCTACTTCCTCAGAGAACCAGTCCGTGGACAGCCACGTTTGCCAATGCAAAATCCTCTACTGACCCGCACATGGCCAGAAGAGGAGGTGGGATGTCCACAGCCTGAACCCTAAGCCCAAACCCGAAATCTTAAGCCCAAACGCCTGGAAAACTAGCCGGGGCTAGGAGGCAAAGAGGCAAAATGCCAGGCCTACACTAAAACATGCTTTGCGAGTGAGTCGAAGCCTGTCACGCCAGACTTGCCCTTTAAAGCCTAAACAACTTGCACGGAATTTGCGATTGCGAGCGACGCAACAACTTGCCCACAAGACGGTCCCTAAGAGGTTTGGACGAGGAGATGATGGCCATGGCCATGACCTCGGTCTAGGGTAAATAAGGGTCAGCAGGGTTCGGGGGCTTTCAGCAGACCTAGTTTCGAGGAATCGGATGGAGTCCGAGTTTGGGCTTTTGTAGCTTCAAGGGATTCCCTGAGGCAGAGTTCGCGGTCGCCGCTCAGCAAGCCGCCATGCGCGAGGTGGAGGAAGCCACACTTCCAGCGGAGGCCAGTGCAATGAGGGTATGTGGATCAGGCTAGCAGCACAGGTCTCTCGGCAGGATGTCGTCAACTTGACGTGCAGTATCCAGTACAAACAAGGTACCCGCAAGAAATAAGAAAGCAGAGTTGTGTCCCACATCGTGGGCCCATTCTCTAGCAAGTGACACTGCTGGAGTATTTCTATACTCCAGGAGGGAGCAGGTTCCGAAGCGGTGGCAGGCATTAGTGAATGGGACAGCCGAGACGGTCATTGCACTATCGAGGATGATGCGGATTACGAGGAGGAGAATCATGAGGCCAATCTGATGCTGACGACGATGATACTGATGACGGCGACTACGACGGTGTTCGCGACCATGAATGGTGATGAGGATGACGGCGACGGTGCTGATGTCACGAATATCCCCCAGCAGTATTGCAACTGCGAGGTGTCACTGCGTGGGCAGTAGCGGAAAATGAGGTCATCTTTCCATATCTTTCAATCTGGAGGCTTCTGGTGCGAGTATATAAGTCATTAAGTTTCGCAAAGTTTGGAACCGTCCGTGCGGAAAGTATCAAGATGTCAGAAGGCCGGAACCCGCTCTTTGCACCTTTGTTGGTCGCACGATCACCGTAACTGCGAGGCACTTCCGGGAGTCTACTTCGGACACATGGAAAGCCCACGGTCTACGCTTCTGCCAAAGACCCCGAGGGTTGTCCTGTTCTCAGCAGCCGTTGATTGGGACACGCCCATTCCAGAGAGCAGCTTGACGGCTGAGGGTCGACTGCAAAAGCTGGAGCACGAGAAGCTGGATCAAGATAATGTTCGCGGTGCATTGCCACTGATGTCCTGTGTCTCTGTCGCGCTGCGAGTCTGTGCAGGTACATCAAAGAAAGCTCCTGTGTTTGCCGCACAAGGAGCACCGCTGCAAAAGGCACCGGTGTTGGCATCCTTACCTCTGTCAGGACCGCGATTTCGACCTCCTCAGGACTGTTCTGAGTGCATAGAAGGTGAAGCAAAGAGGTCTAAAGAGGTGCGTTCAGACGTAGATCGTGACTGGTAGTGTGGGTGTGACTTGTCTGCAACGCTGAAGTCTCTCGAAGGGGCCAAATTAGTGGAGCAGCAGATCAGCCCAGCGAAACCTGCGCTCCTGATAATTCCGTGTCCCTTCTTCAAGTCCTCGTCCTGGTCTGGGGCAACAGTTGACCGCACGAGATGGCAGGATGAATCTGCTGCCGGCGACAGAGGACGTTGACTTTATGGAAGGCTGAAGGCACGCGATGAGTGAAGACCGTGGGGCGAGGAGCAGAAGTCTACGACGGCTGGAGCAAACAAGCGCAAAATGGCAGGGCACTCTGCGAGCTTGGACTGCGTGGAGGGTTCCTTCGAAGTTTTCTTGAGATGTTGAGCTCGGCGTCTCGGTGTACCCAGGCCTCGACTTGGGAGCATGGTAAAGAACTCGCTTCGAAAGGGCCGCTGTCTCCGGAGGAGGAGGAGTGCAGAGATCTCTGATTCTTCGAGAGCTCCGCTCTCAGTGCCAGCTGGGCTGCAGGAGCGCATCAAGGAGGAGAAGGCACAACGCCATGAAACCCATCGGGACCGGTGCCTGATAAACCCAGCAATGCAAGATGCGTTCTAGAGTCTCGTGTATCTGCCACAGCTCAGCAGTAGCCGGCTGGGGCTTTTCGTCTCTCTTGCCAGTAATCTGAACTTGACATGCTGCTGGTCAGGCTCAGTACGACGACTGGCGCAGGCCCTCTGAAGTTTTTTTATTGTTGACTGGATAACACTATTTTGCAGCTAAACCTGAAATCCATGCGACCGAGGCAAGTGCTGCTATGTGCACGCCATCTGACTACACACATCAGCCGCTTCGAGACGGACCCACTCGTCGGTGCTGGCAAAGGGCTGTTTTAACTGCGAGAAGGAAGAATGCTTCCCAATTTGGGTTGATTGCAGACCCAGCTTTGGTTCGGCCCCAACGAAACAGAAAAAGCCGAGCATTAAGAACTCGAAGCAAGCACCATTCCACCAATCATACGGTTTTAGTCACTCTCGTGAATGTTTATGCATGAAGGAAGCACCTTCATGCACGGACTTGCCTCAGGCAGAAGTGCAAGTTGGGTTGCCCCAGTGTGCTTATTCCAACTTATAAGTTTGTTGTTGTGACGAGTAATGGCAACATGTGGCAACGGCAACCTCGCTCTCCTGATCATGGTCGACGCCTGAAGACCAGCTGCGTAGACCCTGAGCTGAGCAAGAGAAGCTTCGACAACGCGCACCAGTCGCCCATTTCATGCGCTTTGGTTCGTAGATTCTGCAGTCTGTAGGCATGACGGTCACCAAGGCAGCGGTTGGACATGGGCTGTCCTGAGGACGCTCCCGCAACGCTCGAAGAAAGTGCGTCCATTGCAGGTAGACTCGTGGTATCTTGCTGTCTCCTTCCAGGACCCTCCCCAAGCAAATCAGATAACGCAGCGGCTGCAGGACAGTTACCTGATCGTGGAAACATGTGGACACAGACCCCCGCATGACAATTTTCGATTTCAAGCATGTCCATGCCACAAGAGTCAACTACCTACCAACTTCATGCATATGATCTAGCAACAGCCCAGCTTGCAAAGAGCGCAGCCGTTGATCCAAAGGTGTGCAGTAGCCTCGTGCCAGTCCGGAGTCCAGTAAACTCACAAACCCGCAGCAGCCTCAGCTGGCGAACGGTGGGAAACTGCTGTACATGCTGTGTTTGCCGCATGCAGCGGGCGTGGCGGTCACAAGACAGAAAGAACGCATGCAAGAAAGAATCAAAGAACCGGGGCGCGCGTAAGATATATTATGAACCGGTATCGCCAAAATAGGGGGGTTTGGTCATGAATACTTCGCGGTCTCTGGAAGTGGATGTCGCTGTTAGTGGCTGTACAGTGATGGGTGCCAAGCTGGCCATGTTTCAAGACCGAAGCGCAGAAACGGCAGTCTGCGGTCGCGATGCTGGACGGTTGCTCGGCAGTTTGGAGTGACACAAAGCTCTGCCATCGCAAAAGATCCGAATCCACGGTCTTTTCCAGTGCTTTCAGGCGCCTCCATGCCCGCCGTACGGGATGTGCCTTCGACCCGCCAGGGCCATGGAGGCTCAGTGGTATGGCCGCTGGCGGAGGGTGGAGGATCTGCATAGCCCCTCGCAGTTTCTGCTTGCAGCTATCCTGGAGGCATGTCCTTCCCGTAGACCGCTTGGCAGACGAGGCAGGCAGCCCTGACAGCACGCAAAGTCCTTCGCGGCACATGTGCTCGCATGTACACATGTACAGCGGGTCGTGCTACGGACATTTGATTTGCAGTTTACGACGGGGTTTTGGTTGGAAGGGTGACAGGGCTGGCGCGAACAGAAGTGCTTACGGCTACAATGGGACACAAGCGCTAGTCGTGAACCTAGTTGTATGGCGATGATGATGACAGGACAACGGCTGGCACGACAAGGTGTAGGGCTCGAGGTTCGGGATGTAAAGGCCGTGAGTGTAGGCTATTTGCGGTTTAGGGTGTAGTACTTACTAGGATGCTCATGCCTCCCTGCCTCTTGAGTTGCTTTGGGGTTGAGGGTGCAGCATGCAGGGGGGAAAGGGCTTCGATGGTGGGATCATCCTTCCCCCCCTGCGTGGGAGAAGGTGGTTGCCTCCTCAGCCCGGGGATCAGGCGCTCCAGGTTTGGGTTTTTGGTGCTTATCAAGGTTGGAAAGTTAAACAAAGGGTTTAGAGGGAGGTCCTAACTTGGATTGTAAACGCCCAGGCTCCCCCCGTGTCGCCTTTCTTCTCTCAAGCTTCCACGGCAAGGCTATAGTGGCATAGTCATAGTGCGATACATGTCGCCGTGCTTGAAGATAGGGTCTCAGATATCCTGTTACAGGTACATCCCAGCACCCACGCACCATCGCCCACGTCTTGCACAGGCGCCATGGCCACGAGCGAGAAAGGCAAGGGCAAAGGACCTCCTCCTGCTCCGAAGGCTTCAAAGGGCAAGGGCGGCAAGGGCGGCAAGGGCGGCAAGGGCGGCAAGGGCGGCAAGGGCGGCAAGGGCGGCAAGGGCAAGGAAAGCAAAGCTGCATCGGGACTTGGTCCGCCCAGCAAGGCAGATGCAGGCATGGCTTGGTTCCACAACGCCAAGATGCAGCACGACGATGGCCACTGGGAAGCGGAGGCATTAATGAACGGCTTGGGTTTGAACCTGGCATATCCTCCGTCGTCGCCTCAGCGCGACACGCTGATCGCTGAAAGCCCCTTTCTGGCAACCCTCATGATGCTGGAAATTGGCCGCCGGCATGTGCAGATGTTTACAGAGTATGCTGCGAAGCCCAAACAGGTTATCGACATCAAGCTTGGCGATGGCCGCACCAGAGCCGACGAAGTCAGGGTGGCAACTGTAGAGCTCACGGAAGAAGAAAAGCACGAACGTCTGGCCGGCCTCGAGGAGTTCGCGGCACGATGTGGGCTCCGAGCAGACTGGGAAGAGCGTGCTGAGCAGTGGCTGGAGGGACATCCCAGAGCCGCCGATCGCTCCTCCATGGAAGAGATCGCTTCCGCAGAGCTCCGCCTTCGCTTTCTGGCTGTGGCCGACTCCAAACGCAAAAAGAACGGAGCCAGCTCTGAAGAGAGAGACAAGCAAGAGAAGCTGAAGCGAGAGACGGAAGCGGCGATGCAGGCAAAGGAGAAGGCAGCTGCTGCGAGGCAGAAGGAGCGGATGGATCATTTTCGAGGCCTCGACCCGGCCAACATTCTGAGCATCGCATGGCCCAGCGCCATAAGCTCCTACGTAATTGACGGCGGTAGTGGCGGGGTGATGCTTGTTGATTTGGGCGCCTCCTGCGTCGTCCTGAAACCTCAGGGCAAGGCTGCAGCTTTGGAGATGATGGCGCAACACGTCGCTGACGTTCTTGAAGTGCCGATAGCTCATGTGCGTGTGGTGACTCGTGCGCAGGAGGAGTTCGGGGAGATCCAGGCTAGTCTGTCGAGGTTCATCAATGGCGATTGGAAGCAAGCGGAGCTTCTAGGCGTTTGGGATCATGCAGATGGTGTGCGGGATATCGGTGGGAATTTCTTCGGAGTCCTGGAGTTTGCAGCAGGGCATGTGCTCATGGGCCATGAGGGGCACGATGCTCTACAGGCTCCTGATCCCAAGCTGATGCATCAGCTTGGCCGCGTGTGCGCCATGGATGTCTTAATCAATAACCTCGACCGGATCCCCCTGCCAGTGTGGCAGAACGAAGGCAATTTGGGCAACGTGATTGTGGCGAGAGACACTGTCGTGGGAATCGACCAGCAAGTAAACCTGGTGATGCCAGGAAAAGGGCTAGACAACTATCTGGCAAAAGTTGCGGCGCTTGTTGCAGCCTGTTCGCCGGAGGGAGACCCAAGCATGATCACAGCCAAGTTGCGCAAAGCTTTGGAGGAGAACTGTGCAGCTGTGATCACTGACAATGCCGCCGCTGATTTCGTCCATGGCCTGCGACAAGGCTTCGAAGACATCGCACATCACTGGAGAGGAGGATCGCTGAGGAAGGGCCTTGAAAAAGGTCAGGAGGCATGTTTGGAGACATTCATCATCGACACCCCTGCCATGGATCACACGATTGGAACACAGCCGCAGCTGAGCACTCTGGATGCCGTGTGCGAGTTTGTATGCACGGTTGCTGAAAAGATTTCTGCGGACATGCCAGCCTGACAGATCTGGACCTTTTTCCTTGTCGCCAGACGATTTCTGTGCCGCATAGCGACTGTACTTGGCTGGCTGCCTCGCTTTGCTCGCAACAGCTCCGGTTTGGAATCCTGTCACATGTCCCACGAAGACGAATCTCTTGAAGGACCGCAGAGGGGGAGGACTGGCTTTGTAGAAAATCGCGCTGGCGCCGAAGCGATAGTTCTAGAACTCGAGAGAGCACGTGCGGTGCCTTCTGCGCAGCGCAACAAAAGGCAGGCTTAGGAAGAACACGGATTTTGTGGGCGACACCCTGAATCCTAAACCTGCTGCATTTAAAACCTGCTGCATTTCCGTATGAATCCTAGCCCATAAACCCCAAAAGCCCTTAAAGCTCTCCAAGCCTTACACAAGCCTACGGTGTAAGCCCCGATGTGCCCGGTGGAAGACCGCTCGGTGGGGTGTGAGCTTGCTTTTCAATGTGGGAGTCTGCTGCCTAGACGAAGGTCTCAAACTGAGCCTCTTGAGCCTCCGAAAATCACTGCGTAGAAGGGCACCTCCTCCTGCTGCTTGAGGGGCCTCAAGGGCTTTGGCCCACAATGCAGCCCATTGGGGCTAAATCAGGCGCTGACGGCAGTCTTCAGCCTTGTCGTCCGGGGCTTATGAGGCCGCAGCTTGCTTCGCTTTGTTCAAATCCGTGCCCTGTACGCTGGTAGGCGCACGTAGGCGATGCGAGGCTTCGCGTGTACGTCTTGATGCCAGTCGGTGCTGCAATACTGTTGGCTGTTGGCTCGTGAGATTGTTTGATGGGCACGATCCGCCCATCTGAATTGCTTGAAGTTTGAATTATGGAGCGCGCAACATGCCTGCTCTTGTGGCTTGCCGCCTTCCTTCCGCTGGGGTCGGGAAAGCCGACTTGCACCCGCGAGGAGGGATGCTCGCAGGACTCGCAAGGCTCCCTCTTTCTGCAGCGAGAGACGCTCTCAAGGATTTCCCAAATGGCGACCGAGGACCGTACACGCCGTATGCGAGACGAGTGCAGTCATGCCAGGATATCGTGTCGACGAACTCTGTCCCGCCGCAGGAAATCTACGAAGCCCTCGGGATCACCAAAGCGACCCGAACTCGCGCTGCTGACGCCCGTTTCCTGATGAGAGCGACCTGGCAGGCATTTCTCGGCATGGCATGTTTCTGAAGAAAGGAGCGTGTTCAGGACACGGCAGCACAGCACGTGACTGAAGGGGAGACGGGGAGACGCCCGGAGACGCGACATGCCAAGCGCTGCTGAGGCCAGCTTCGGGCCTACACGCGAGACCTTGTCCGAGTTGAGCACTTCGGACAAGACAAGAGTGTTCAGCCGTTCCCTTTATATGTTTCTACACCGAAGATTTCCCAGAAGAGTCTAGACGCTTGAAGGGTTGAGCTGTCGCACAGGTCAGAAGAGCCATCCTGATTGGATTCTGGAGCAGATGAGCCTTCCAGTCGAGTCCCTTCGCGAGTACTACCGCGAGCGCGTGAACCCTTTCTACAAGTCCGACGTGGACAGCGAGCGCGACTTCAAGCCTTACACCCCCTGCTCCCCTGGATCTCGCTGGAGACGATTCGTCTTCATGCTGAGCGACAACAGGAAGCAGGTCCAGGTTGCTGGCGGCCAGATCTTTGTGGAGGGCGCATTCCGCTCAGATATTCCGACTGGCCTGTTTGCTTCTCGCTGGAGCGGTGTCTCAGCTATAGGAAAACATGTGTGCATGTCAAACACCGCTTTACATAAGCGGCGAATGTGCAAGCTTGTAAGTAAGGACTCGGGAACTACTCTGCCTACATTTGCTTTCTGGAAGAGGGTGTCGGCAACGATGTGCACCTGTCCAGCGACCAAAGCTGTCACTGGTCGGTGCCACTGACGAACATGCCAAACCCTGCTCTATTCGTGCCGCTTCGCTGCAGCCAGGCTAGCTTCGTCACAGCGTGATGCGGCGGTGAGGTTGTTAGCTTCAGATCTGAGGTCGGACCAGTCCAAAGTCACGGCCGTTTCGATGCCTTTCCAGCAGGGCCTGCCCGACACACTACTCTTGCAGAGTCACTCTGAGCCCTGCTCGCTGGACGAGGCCCGGGCAGAAAGGAACCCTTCCAGCCACGACACGAACGGCTCACGCCAGGCTCTCAACCAGGTCGCCCAGGGGGAGCAGCTCTTGATCCAGGCGGGAGTTTTGGGAGCCACAGAGGGGATGGGTCTTCCGGTCTTCCACTTTTGCTGTGAAGCCAGGCCCAGGGCGGCATCTATGCCTTCCATCCTCGGGTTCAGCTTCATACCAACACGCCCGGAAGCCCGATGCCCGGGCTTTGCGTGCCCCCATCCTTTCTCACCGAAGCAAACTGCAAAGCGCCGGAGATTCTGCAATCTCAGGCAGGGCCCTTTTCAGCTCGTTTTCCTTTCCGCAAGCTGCACGTAGGCTTTGTCTGTGCGTGAGCACTCGCCCTCGCCCGAGGGGCCTGCGGTGCCTGGCCTGCGCGCGGAAGTGCACGTGCTGAGCTCCAGCCCTTCAGGTTTCGTCAGCGAGACATTGAGCCAACCCAGCTTCGCGTTCTTGGACCCTCAGATTAACTATCCTTCCTCCAGCAATGCTTGGACCCCCGAGCTGCCAAGAGACTACTATGCCATCCGCTGGACGGGCACGCTGACAATCCAGCAAGCTGGCGAGTACGAGTTCTTCCTGGAGTCGGACGATGGGTCGAAGCTCGATCTCGATGGCTCCGAGGTGGTGAACAACGGCGGCTTCCACGGCATGACGGAAAAGAGCGGCAAGGTCAATCTCACTGCGGGAGGCGGAGGGGTCCGGGGGTCGCTGACGGGAGTTTGATACTATCATAGGTGACCCTAATTGCAAGCTCACGTCACCCGCATCCCTCAGGCCACGCTCTGAACATTGAGTACTACGAGGGCAGCGGCGGTGCTGGAATCCGCTTTCGCTGGCAGGGCCCCGACAGCAGCGGCACCAAGGAGATCGTGCCAACCAGCGCCTTGCAGACTCCTCCGCCCAGCACATCGATCTGTCTTGCCTGTGGCTCACCGGGCGAGGTGGCTGCGCCTCAAGATCTTTGAGCGGATTTCGGGATGGGTTCTGGGCATTCTGGGCTCAGTGCAGCAGCGTGCCAAGATTCGTTAAGTCTTTAAAAGTGCCCAGGTGGCCAATGATCCAGCCAAGGGGCACCAGTTTCGGTTCTACACCACCAGGCTCTCGCGAGGGCTCAGGAGTGCCAGAGGAGAGGGGCTAAAGTGTAAAGGCGAACGGCTGAGCACAAGCCATGCCAGGGATCGTGCAGACCAAGACCTGGACAACCACTTCTTCGACCGATTCGCGGATGAGTTGTCCAAGTCGACCGTGTGGACGGCCAAAGCCCTGTCTGCCAAGGAACCGCGCCGTTCATGCTCCTGTTTAGCTCCCGCTCAGTTCGGAATGGTTCTCATGGGTTCTCCCCTCGTCAGGATCAGCTCCGCCAGCGCGTGGCTTGGGCATTGTCTCAGATCTTCGTCGTCAGCGCTAATGGCTTCGGGATGGACGACCGGACTGAGCTGTGGCTCAACTACTACGACCCTCGGCTGCCTCGGCCAAGCTTGAAGTGTTGCATCCCCATACCTGCATATGCCTGCATGGCTTGCACTCTGCAGAGCGAGCAAGGACATCTTCGTCCGCAACGCCTTTGGCAACTTCCGCGATGTGCTCCGGGAGGTCACCTACAATCCACTCATGGGCCGCTATCTCACCAACACAGGCAGCTCCTCCTTCGACTACAACGGCCGCTTCCCAAACGAGAACTACGCCCGTGAGATTATGCAGCTCTTCTCGGCGGCTCGGCTGCAGAAGCCCACATCAAACCACTCTCGAGCGAGAGGGTCACCCCGAAAAGTGTGCTGGCGAGGTGGGCCTGGACTTGCTGCACCCGAACGGGACACTCCAGAGGGATGCCCAGAACAACAGCATCCCGACCTATGGCATGGAGCAGATCGTCAACTTTGCAAAGGTCTTCACCGGCTTCCGGGAGCGACCCTTCCGACCCAACATCGAGAACGAAGACGACGACAACCTGATCGATCCGATGATCATGGACTCCCAGAGGCATGATGTCCACCCGAAGCCCGACTTCTACGGCGGCTTCCTGGGCGATGGGCTCCCTTCCTGTGCCGAGCCAGGGGTCCACAAGTTCCTTGCCAAGGGTGCCCGCTTTGAGTTCTATCCCGTGGATCACTTGGGGGAGGTTCTGGAAGTCTCCCAGGGTTCCGGACTCTATGATGCCTTCTGCTCCAAAGTTGGCAATGAGTGCACCTTCCCTGCTACCTTGCTGCTGGACAAGACCCTGCAGTGCGCTGGTGCGGAGTGTGCGGCTGGCGACGTCAGCATCGTCAAGGTCGGTGCCAGGCACTACATCTTCACCCCTCCGCCATGCGTATACTCGTATTTCAAGGCAGTGCCATTCAATGCCTCGGTCGGCCTCTTTGCCCTCGAAGAGGCGGAGTTTTGCCCAGATGGCTCGCATATTGAGGACCAGGCTGCCTGCGAGCAAGCTATTCTGGCCGTCTACGGCTCACACGACGGCAATCCCTACACCAATCCAAAAACCTGGTATCCCAAGGGCTGTTCGTACAGAGGGGGCCGCATGTACTTCAACACGGACCCCGTGGGCAGAACCAAGTGGGGCGACTACCGACCCATTTGCTTCGCACATCTGTTTGTCCACGAGGATGGCAAGGCCAGCGCAGACGGTGTCGAGGCTAACAACTTTGCAGTCCAATGGACAGGGGGAGTGCCCTCCAGCGGGATGCAGTTCTTGAAGATCGAGGCTGGGGCGGTCTTCAGTGAGACACCTTCCAAAGTGGATGCAGTCAAGCAGCTCTTCGTCGGGGCATACGTGCCGAACACGACGTGCTCAGTATGCGGGGGGGATGTGGAGGTGTTCCACCTTCCTGGAGACGGTCCGGCCATCACGGCCAACACGATCTTCAAGGTGGACGGTAAGTTCTACAAGAACAC